TTTACATCATTTACAGTACGTTTTGTTTTCTTTCCTATACGGTTTTGCAAATGTCAGGATGATAGTGAAAAATGCCCATCCTAAATTTCCAGAGCTTAGATTATAATTATTATTATTAAATTTTTTGATAAATCAAAGGTCAATGCTTCAACTCAGTAAGCAGGGCTGCTTTATCAAAATGTTGGGTTTTGTGCATTTAATCCACTGAATTCACCAAAAATGGACATTCCCAATCTGATCAGTTCATTGACTTTCACAACATTTCACAATACCCATGTAAATTGCTAATAAAGATTTCCTTTTCCTTTTAAGACCATTTTATGCCAAGTTCATAATGATAATGCAAGAACACTGTTTCAAAGAGCAATGAGCTTTTAATCCATAAGAATATTAAGTCACTGGAATTGGAATGTAAAAAAAAAAATTCAATTATCCTCGATAAATAAAACAAAAACAAAGCCATGCAACCTAAACAATAAATAAAATGGTCTCTCAGGTGCTGTTAACAAAAGTACATTTTAAATAAGTATTAAACATTTGGCACAGCGGTAGGCTATAGAGTCATTAATCCCTGAACAGGCAATAAAGTTGCCTAATGGGAGGGAAAAGCCTGCTGTTTATTCTGGCATCGTGTCGTCTAAAATGTTGAATGTTGAAAAATTGTGACATTTTTAAATGATAGGTCGATATTGTGACAGTAATTATACATCTTACGATAAGTCGATAATGTAATTATTGTGACTGGCCCATTTCCATACACCATAATCGACAATTTTAATCAATATCAACCACACCTGATACCATCGAGCCTTGGAAAGCACCAAGATTATCCATGATGAGCTGGAGGACAGGATGTGTAGAAGGTAGGACGCACAAATACATACACAGTACAAAGAAAGCACGACAAGTCAATCAATTGCCCAGCTGATCTCTCGACAATCCACTCCATCCATCAAACACATCAAACTCAATCTGAAAAGCAGCCTCGCCCTGACATTCGAGCTTCATTCAACAAAACAGAGCCTGAAGCACTGTTGGGACTACAACGCTCGGCTGAATACACTCCTGAACAAACATACAGATGGTGCTTGTTCAGCAACCACAACAACCTGAGGAAACTTGTTTACCCACATTATCAGTGGGTAACGATAGCATGGCAGGATCTAAACCCTCAACGCTTCAATACAACCCAATGGTGAATTCCTTTCATAATTTGCATTTCATGGTGGGAAATTGCATATGATTACAGAGCCCTGATACAGTGCCAGCCACTCTACAGTACAGTATGGGTGCTGACAAACAGGCGAAACACACACGATACAGTCGTGAGACACTGCCCACACACACACTTGGATCCGCCAGTGTGAGTCATCCAAAAATTACATTCAGCATCTCTGGTTTCAGCAGCAGAGCGGTGGGGTTAAGGCTTGGGTCCTCTGTTGTGGAGTTATTGTATTCTGGCAGTCTAACAAACAGAGAAAACAAACAGCATGTGGAGCTGCTGGAAAACAAAATCATTGTTTTTCCAGGGAAGGGTCATCAAGCTCAGTTCATACAGTTATAACCAACTCCTGTAACCATTTATAGCAGCTGCCCTGCAACAGCCTTGCTCAATGGTAGCTTTTGTGGGTAATTATTCAAATCTCCTTTGACAAACCTGTTTAAGCTTTTTTCCCCAAGAACCTGAAAAAGCTCCAGGCAAACTTTCGCCAATATGGTGACGGACATATTATCATGTGGCAATTTTAACAACTCATGTTTTGTCTCACAACTTAATAAAACAAATATTAATCTTGAACCAAGGAACAAAAAATGTTTTCAGTTTAGGCTCTGCCAATTTCTGCCTAACAGACCTCTTCATCTCAAGGAGTGCAAAAAAGGTTGATTTTTTTTTTTTAATAGAGCATAGACTACCGCCCAATCCTGCACGATTAATCGATTAGTCATCAGCTATTAAATAAAATAAAAGGTGGGATCAGCCATTCTGGAAGGAAAGTTGACTGTTGAAACTCATTCCCTGGTTGACAAATACGAACGCTTTGGCAACTCAAAGTGCTGGTATAAGACATTAATGAGACTGATAATCGATTAATCAATTTGAGTCATTTAAGAAAGAAAAAAATCCAAATTCTCTGATTTCAGCTTCTCAAATGTGAATATTATCTTTAATCCTCTATGATAATAAACTGAATATCATTGGGTTATGGATCAAACAAGACATTTGAGGACATCACCTTGGAACTTGGCTTAGGAAAACAAACTTACCTGCAAGCAAGGAAGCACTTGAATTTCCCTTGGGATAAATAAAGTATCTATCTATTTCACCTGTAGGTGGCGCTAAAATGGCCATAACTCAGTGCTCCTGACTCTGACTCACATGCAATTTTGTGCAAGTCATCCTTCAGTGAAATACACTATTAATTCCTGACAGGATTTAGGTATATAGATATTCAAAACATACATCCAATATCAGCCAATCAGACCGAATACGTGTATTTTGATGCAGACCTACAGTTCATTTTCTAGCATTGAAGTCACATATAAGCACTGTTGGTGGAGCTATAACCTCTAAGTACTTTGTGCTTGACACTTAATTGTGATATTATGTTCTGTAATTCATGTTCCCGATCCCCACCTTGATGCTGCTTGATTTAACAGCTGATATTTGTCATCTCTCCTCAGTGGAGAAACAGACTTGAGTGTTATCTAAATGGGAGCTGGCACCTCTGGGCCTCTTCATCTTCCCGGCCTTTAATGAATTAATAAAGACCGGTTAGTTTCTCTAAACACAGCCCCACGCAAAGCTCCGCTACCTCAACGGATCGGCTCAAAACCACCCCGGGGACCCACCACTGCAGCACCGACTGCCACACCAGCGAGCATCAAGACTCCTACAATCAGCACCCAGCAGCGGGTCAAACTGGCAGCGGCGCTCTGCTTTTCCTCACTCCTGCTGACTCCTTAATGATGCAGCCTGCTGATGACAGGAAGAAACCCCACTGCTGCAGTTCTGCATGATGGCATTTTCATACTCGACCCTTCAGCAGGGACTCCTCTTGCTAAGTCTTACAGCTTCTCTCTCCCTTTGCTGTTCATTGCAGCTGCAATTAGCAGTCATTTTTTTATTGATAAATCTGTCTTTTATTCTTCCAATTAACTGATCGGTCTATAAAATGACAGAAAATGGTAATGCCCATCACCCACAGTAGCATCTCCAAATAGCTTGTCTTGAACGCAAAGACACTTGTTTCATAATGATATAAAACAAAGATAGAGCAGTAAATCCTCACATTGGACAACCTGGAAACAAAATGTCTCTCATTTTATCTTGCTACATGACTCAAACAATCAATAATCACCATTCATTTCACATTCATCAACTAATCACTTCAGCACTACTTTTCATACAAAAACTGCATATTTTATCACCACCCATTCACTCTCCTTCCTCATCATCTTCCTCCACCTTCCCTCCTCCTCCTCCTCCTCCTCCTCCTCCTCCTCCTCCTCCTCCTCCTCCTCTTCTGTGGTTTCTCTCCAGCTCCAGCTACTAACGATCCAAAAGAAACCTCCCACAGGTCACAACTACTACTCATTGTGCGCCATTGATCCCTCGTTAGAGCCTTTTCAGGGAAAGAGCAGGTGCGTTTGTGTGTGTTTTCATGTAACCTGAAGTCAACAGTCAGCCACAATCTGAAGTGACTCCTATCATTTCCTTGATAGCACAAATTCTCAGGTCAAGTTACACCATCCTGCTTCTACAAGGAACCATTAACTCTTATTAAATACGTCTTTGGCTCAGTAAGCACACATGCCCTTCTCCTCTTGCATCCACCAGCACCTCTTCCCTGTTTAGGCACTCCGGCTCTCTCTGGGCGTTTTCTTGCGGAGGAGTGTGGAACGGTGACAAGTTTCCTCACATAAAGGAAAACCCTTGTCTTGCTTCCGCTGCCGAAATCTACCTCGCCTGGAGAGCTGCCCTGAGTGAAGAGTAACACCTCTCCATCGCCTGCCTCTGTTGAAGAGGAGCTTTGTTGTGGGTATAACAATGGAGGATCTGAATGCTTGTCACCATTCGACTCTGGAGTTTCAACATGAGCAGGGTGGTCCGTTCAGTTTCCCTAGAATACCTCTGATGACTCTGTGACTGTATTGAACTCGTCGAAGCAACTCAGATCGGCATTCCAGCTTGGTTGCCAATAGCAGGGTCAACGGTAAAGTTTCTGAGTGAAGGTATCAATCCATCTACAGAACTGACAGCTTAAGAAATCTACATAAAGTCATTACCACCAATAAAGACCCTAAATGAAGATTGCCAGTTATAGAATAACGATCTGCTTTCACTCAGACAGATGAGGTCTGGCTCAGCTGTACAGTGACAGCTTCCCCTCTGCAATGTGTGGAACAACTGGAATTGAACTGCCCCAGGGGCAAAGGTTTGGGGTTGAAACAGGTGGAATTTACATGACTATTGTAAAATAAATAAAGCATTGTAAGCTGAGGTAGAGGGGAGATCGACTGCTGCTAAAAGGATCAATTGTGGACTAATTGATACACAGATAATTAATAGATTACAGTTCTGTGAATTGATTCTATTTGACTTTTTTTGTGGTTTGTCAAATTTGAAGAATCGCTTTTGACTCTGACTGAATAAAGAATCGATCTACATTTAAGAAACACAATAAAGTGCCTTTGTAGAGCAGCATCAACCTCTAGGAGCTGGACACAAGCAGGCAGTCTCACACTGAAGTTATCCAGCATCTTTTTCTCCTGGTGACTGGACATCAATTCTTTATCATTAAATGACTTCACAGCACAACAGAACACAGTTCTGTGATACCAACGTGGAAAGACAAGGGCTAAGACACCAGGCAGGTCAACGGAGTCAAAGTTATCCGAGGTCTGTCCTCTATCACCGTCCTCTAACTGTCCGTCCACCGGTGCAGCAGGTGTCCCTCAGCGGCAGCAGGAAAAAAAACTACCAACACAGTCCGTCTTACCTTGTAGACATTCTCCGTTATACGGTGCACCTCGTCGGTCCGGGACATCCTTGTAGGAGCGTCAGTCAGAACCATAGACTAAGATTTCCTTTAGGTGAGGCTGAGATGATTTTCCGACCGGTGGCGGGAGAAATAACGCAGGTGTTCGCGGGGAATCGCGGCTCCTGTCTGCGGTGACTGAGAGAGACGAGCTCGTCTGAACGTGGGATCCCTGCTTTTATAGGAAAGTCCTCCGCTGCGCCCACACCGGCTCCCCACGCAGCCACTCAGTCAGTCGGTGCCTCTCGGTTGGAGCGCAGAGGCGGACTCACTTCAGCAGGGGCGGTGCTGCATTCAAAGGCAGTGGGATGTTCGGCGACTTACGACCTGAGCATCCTGACGAAGAGATGGCTCCCACTGTGATAGAAAATGTAAATGTTGTGTACAATGAACAAGGCCCGCAGTAAAAATATGGACACTAAGGAGTGCCTATGTATGTAATGATGAAATAAATAATTAAAGATTTAAAGTTTTTATCATTATTGCTGAAATATTTCACAGTGTCTTGACATGAGACTGATCTATGAAAAGATCAGGTTCCTCTGGTTCCTCCTACTGGTCATAATGGTATTTACAAGAATCCAGCCTGAACAAAAACAACCAATCAGAGCCGGGAAAGATATAGACGCTTTGGGTTGGAGGCTTGAAGGTAATTGTTGGCTGAGTCTTATTTCCAGGGTCCTAGAGCATCTGCATTGAGCCCCCCGTCGAATGAGATCAACTATCTTTCTCGGCTCTGATTCGTTGTTTTCTTGCAGGTCGCAGATTATCTGTCTCGTACTAATGTCAGGATATAGTTAAAGTTTCGAAAAACATTTTCATAAAAATTCCCTCCTGCAGCTTTAATTTCAGATATATTTGAATATGGCTACATTGGTAAGATGAACCTGCTGCTAAAGAGAACCAGGGCATAAATGAGCTGGCCCCTTCAGGTCACTATATGTCGCTATGTTGATAGTGTGCTAAAGTTTAGTGCTAATTTTAGTCATTTTTGTTTGACTTGCTTGTGGTTTGATTGGATGCTGTCTGTGTTTTAAACAGTGATGGGTAGGGGACAGTGAACATGTCTTTTGAATGTTGTTGTAGCCTATTATAACATCTGTTCTGTTCTGGAGTTTTTTTAAATTTGTATTCGGTTTTGCTCTCAGATGCACCAGTCACACATTTCAGATTTTTTATGGACAGACTATTTTTTGGGGGATCTTCTCTTTCTGCAGGGTGGGAAATGGATGGGACTTTCTCTGTGAAGCTGTTAATTAATCGAATCATTTTTCATAATCATTTATTTCAAACGTTAATTAGGCTGCATAATGTCCCTTCTGCCTCCCGAAGAGCCACAATCATCACATCATTATTACTATCAATTAATCCTTAATAACCCTAACCAAAAGCAACAGAAAGTGTACAACAAAAGGGATCTTTACGATGAGTCCCTGAATGCGGCATAGCATTTAAAGAAGCCACGCCTCCTCCGCTGTGTCACACGCTGCCCACGCGCCGCCTCTGCTACAACCATTCAGAAGACCTGAGCAAGCATCTCCACACAGATTGAAGGTCTGTGCCCGTTATACAGTGGGATTGTGTCCACACACACATCAGATCCCTGGGACATGTCCATCATATTCCCACTGTGGTACCTTTACCTTCAGGAATATGTTACCTGTAGCTCAGGCTGTGTACTTCAGGAATATGTTACCTGTAGCTCAGGCTGTGTACTTCAGGAATATGTTACCTGTAGCTCAGGCTGTGTACTTCAGGAATATGTTACCTGTAGCTCAGACTGTGTACTTCAGGAATATGTTACCTGTAGCTCAGACTGTGTACTTCAGGAATATGTTACCTGTAGCTCAGACTGTGTACTTCAGGAATATGTTACCTGTAGCTCAGACCTTCCACCTGTGTTTTTCTCACACTATTTAACATACCTGGTCATAACTGTAACTGCTCATCATGTGTTGTTTTTACCCTGCTCTATATTTGTGTGGCTCCTCTCCTTTTGGCTGAGTGGGCTCTGCTCGGTATGAGTGGGATGGCGCCACATTTTTCTTGGATGTCAAAGCCTCGTAATGGTGGGTTGGGGAATCCCACACATTTAACACATCACAATCTGAAAGGCCTTTGAACGAGACTTCACAAAAAAAAGAGACAAAGGCAGAAGATAACCTGGACCCGTGTGAAGAGAGGACTGTCTCGCCTTTTGTGTTCTGCAACACATTTTTAGGTGAGATAAAACAGGCGAGATATTTTAGGGCTGGTGGTAGCGAGGATAATAAAGTGGATCCTCAGCTCACTATCAGAACAGACTGATTTTGCTTCGATTGTCACATCTGATTAAAGCGGATCCCGAGGAGACCCAACTGCAGACAGTGGAAATCAATCAGGTATGTTTGGTCTTTACCAGAGCGAGCAGCAACATTCTCACTGTCAGCGAGGCTATTGATTTACTCCTCTGTGAGTATTCAACCCCCTCAATTAGTTTCCATAATTGAATGTAGACTTCAATTATGTTTGCTGACTGCCAATCCATCTCAAAGTATAATTATACACAAATGAATTAAGATAATGATTGTTAATCACAGTAAATAATAGCAGAGCGGCAGACTTGAGTTGGGCTTTAAATCACAGCAATGAGGACCCGAGACTTGATTGAGACTAGAAAACCAAAAAGTCTCAAATTCTGGAAAAACCTAGAAACAAACAACAAAATTGAACAGCAACAGATACACATGGTTTGGTCTCCATCATATAAAAACACAGGTTTAAAAGGGAAAAGTCATTTTAATGGCCAACATTCAACAGTGTGAACTTGAACTTGTTTCAGTTTTCTTCAGATTTGCCTCCAGAACTGATTTAAAACAGATATTTTCACGACAGACTCAAATTAAAAAACTGGATGTAGACTTCAGACTTGGACGAAAGGACTGAGACGGCGAGAGTTAAAAAAATGTTAGGGTTAGTGCCAATCAGAAGCAGAGTAGGGCATAGGGCGAGTCTTTGTTAAAGCTGAAAATGTCCTTGTTAAAATGGATTAAAAAATACCAAAAGAATTAGGTTTATGGGTATGTTCTGGTTCTGGCTAAGGTTAGGGTTGAATTAGGGCACTGGCACCTTTACTGGTCCTGTTAAGGCAACAACATATATAGTGTTAATTAGTAAGCTTTAGCACTGTTTAAAGGTTTTAGTGACATCTAGTGGATCTGGGCTACTGTAGAAACATGGTGGTTCAACATGGCGCCCTCCCCTGAAGGCCTCTGTAGATAAATGTCTCGATCTAAGGTAACGGAAACACAACAATTCTTATTTTCATGCATTACACGCTCATGAAAACATGCCTTTGATTATTATATTCCATTTCTGACAATAGATCCTCCTCAATGTTACACACTGGAGCTTTCATGCTGTTTTGCTACAGTTACTTAAGACTTGACTCCCTAAAGACTTTTTTTTATTACTTTTTCTTGGTGTATGCCTTTATTTGATAGCCATCAGTTGTCAGATGACAGGATGTGAGGGGAGAGAGAGATGGGGAATGACACGGAGCAAGGGTACCCTGTTGGATGTCCTCCAGTCAGCTCTGACTTAAGACTAAGACACAAACATTCCAGTATTAAATGATGATAACACTTGTCGCATGACTTGGACTTGTCCTTTAGGACTTGTGACTTTACATTAGACTTTTTATTATAAGACTAGAGCCTTTACATGAACTCAACTGATGTGAGATTTGACTTGGACCTCCCTATATGACTTTAAAACAGTTCTGCCTGTAGGTATATTTAGTCCAAAGTGGAGGTGTAAGCAGGTAGGCAAGAATCTGGGTGGGCAGGACACACACACACCTACACACCTGAAGCATCCATTCAGCAGCGTTTGATCTCCTCTTCATGTACATCCCACTCACCATCGTCCTCTCCGCCTTTTCTCTCTGCTCAGCTCCACGTCCGTGATTCATCAGCGCGGCGACTTGTCTGTGCGTCGCCCACTCCCACGCAGCCCCAATGAGCTTGTAGTGCACAGTCAGCTGCAGAATGGAGCCGGTCCATTCAAAAAGAGTACATGAGTGTGAAGTGGATTCCAGTAAGACAAAGACACCAACTCAGGCTATTTCAGGCTCACAGGAGGCCGGGATGATGGAGCGTCACTGCACAGGCTTTGTTTAGGGAGAATACTTCAAGGCTATAGATAGGAATATTTCATGGCTGCCTTTCACTTTGCAAAGGTCTAGCTGATGCTTTTGTCCTGTAGAAACAGTCTTCAATAACCTTTATAACAATAGTGAAGAGTGCAAACAAGGTCACGCTGTGCCAATAGTTTCCATCTGAGACGTAAATGCTGGAAAATAAATAGAGAGAAAGAGAGGGTTGTAAATGGGTTCTCTTGTCTGTGTGAAGGTACTGAAAGGTTAGATTTCCTTTCTCTTCATTTGTAAATGAAATGAAAATAAAATCTTTTTGCAGATGGATGACGAAGACCATTAATGTGCTCCCTTAACTGCCTCCACTCTTCTGGTATCAGACTTTACAGCACAAAAATGCTTTTAAAAGTGCTGCCCCCTCTTCCTGGAAGGATGTACAGCGGGACCTATTATCATTATCAAAAGATCAAGAAATTGGTTTTCTTGGTCAAGGTGATTGTTCCTCAGCTGTCACTGAAATCGTAACTTAATAAAATTGTGCCTGACCTTGTATTCCATATTAACTGGGTATTGTGTTGACTCATCTGTAGTGTGTGTGAGCTGTATTTACCTGTATTGTATTGAACCTGCTGTAACAATGTATGCTGCCTTTTACCTGGTTAAATAAGGGATATATAAATATATATATATAAATATAAAAGGGCTGACTCACAGTCCAGTTCATACTAAAGATGTTGGCTGGGGTTGAGCTCAGTGGTCTGTTGCACCAAGCTGAGAGAAGTGTGTCCTTATGGAGCTGGCTTTATGCGTGAAGATGTTGTGTTTCAAACAAGTCTTAAAACCCGTCTTCTGTAGCATTAGTTCCTCTGCCTTATAGTGCAGGTACTGACTGTAGTGCAGGTACTGACTGTAGAATAAGTACTGACTGTAGAGCAGGTACTGACTGTAGAACAGGTACTGACTGTAGAATAAGTACTGACTGTAGAGCAGGTACTCTGCAGCAGAGGTTTAGAAAATATCTGTCGCCACCTTGTGTTCACTCATGGAAGATTTGAATTGTGGCCTGCAGTGAGGCGACGGAGAGTATGACAATTAAAAAAACACTTTTATTGTAAAAAGAATGTACAGAGAGGTACAGAGGTACAATTTCCAGACCCATATTAAGACGATGCTGTGCTGATGAAACGACGTCTGCAGCCTGACTATTAGTCATCAGTGTTTTTGTGTCTGTAAGATTAACTGATTTACAGATTAGTTAGATAGATCTTCAAAGATACACAAGCCTAAGCCTCATGAATGTAGGTCATCGTTCCTGCTGCAATTTAACACAGGTCTATACGAGCCAATCTGAGCATGATATGCACAGTAAAATAATTACAGGAGCTGATAATACTCGGTGGGTAAAGTTATTACCTTGAACAGATTAACAACTGTTGTCTGGGCTTCATAGGTAAGCCCACAGCCGATATGATTAGCCCTTTCTCCAATGACACTGAACTAATCCACAAGGGGAGCAGAGAATTAGATTAGTTAAGCTGCTTGAAAAAAGGTCAGACTGAGAGAATATTCGACGAAACAGACGCTTATGCAAATGTTTCCGTACTTTACAAAAAGTTCTGGGGCGGGTCAAATGAGTCGTATGAAAGCAAAGCCGGTACGAGTGAGGCAGCCTGTAGGCCCGTACTGTGAGAGGGTTCTGGTTCCATCCCGCCTGCATTAAAGGGTCAGCCCACTCAAATTTCAACAAAGACATTTTATCACTCAGTCCTGCTGCTGTCTGGCCGGGATCATAGTTCTGCTTTTATTTGCCAACTGAAACAACATTTAGTCCTTCAGTGTTTGATTTTTATTTATCGTCAATAATTTTTTTAAAGATACTGTGAGGAGTTTGTAACTGGTTATAAAGAGTCTAAATTTCATTCTGATGCCTCTATGTGACCTTCACACACAAAGAGCATCAGCGAGAAGATTTCTATAGAGATATTCTTGACGCCCGCCACCGAGTCGGAAACAATCCCGCTTCTGTCCACAGGGGCCGCCAAAAAGTGTAGCTTCATGGATTCATAAAAAAGTCTTTGGGGAAAGTTCATCATCTACGTAGACTGACAGCTAACAGTACGCAAAGACAGGAAGCACCGTCATGAAACCAAAAAACATCAGAACTTAATTTCTCCCTTTTGGTTTCTGCGTACAGAGACAAGCTTTTTCTAAATGTTAACACTTTTCTCATTACTGACTAGTATTAATATATATATATATAAATTATACATTGTCATAATAATGCACTTAAATGACCTGCAGTACTATCTACAGCATAAACAGATGTATTCTTATGTTTCATTGATTCATCATCTAATACAACATGTTTCTGGCTAAGTTAACCATTAGACTGTAATGTGCAATGAATAACAGAATTATACATGACTTTTCTTTGTTTGGATATCGGCATTATATATGTCGCCCTGCTCTCTAAATAACTGTTTTTAATTTCAGTTTAAGATCATTTCTTTGGTAGAAAGTAGTCCCAATAAAACTGTTTTCTGGCAACAGATGCTGCTGTTGAGTTAAAAAACCTGATAAGATAAAATTCTGTTTGTAATTTGGGTGAACTGACCCTTTAACGGAGCCCATTAAGAGGATGATTCGATGAGTTACAGTAACACATACATGCAGTTAAGTTAAGTCGATGTGTGTAAAATGAACACAGAGGAAGAACACTCAAACGAAGGTTAGGCACAATATTCTGATGTCACAGGTCTTCATGGTTCAGATCAGCGTGTCTCGCTGCAGCGAACCGGTCCCGGCCGCCGTCGGGTGTCGGCTGCCGCTGGGTGTCGGCCCGCAGCAGACGAGGACAAACAGCGGCTGGATGACGAGGAGGAAGCTCAGTATCTGAGAGTGGCTGCTGTTACTTCACGGCAGGAGAGAGAGAGAGAGAGAGAGAGAGAGAGAGAGAGAGAGAGAGAGAGAGAGGTCTCCCGCTAATGTTCGTGTGGTTGTGGGTTCATGTTGGACTTGTTGTGGAGAAGGTCCAGCAGATGAGCTGAGGGAGGTCAGTGGCGTTCCTACGCAGCGAGCAGCTCTCGCTCCGGCTTCTTTCTGGGACGTTCCCTCTCTGGAACACAAACACATACACAGACTTACAAAAGGCAGCAGGCTGCGGCAGCGAGAACCGGGGGAGCCATCGATCAGTCGATTAAACGTTTAATTTGGATAAAAGAACTGTTAATATTTCAACAGCAGTTAAATAATGTAAGGAACATTTCAGCTGCTTTTAAAATACGATTGAGTTATTGAAGAATGTGATTAACAGATTAACAGGAATAAAACCTTCATTTACCTCGTCAGTGAACATGATTTCTGTCTGATATTCATCTGCAACGCTGGTTGTTCAATAAGCAACTCCCATGATCCCACGCTACTTCACAACATCCACAAACTACGTCTGTTGTCAGTGTGTTGATGTCAGAGACCCCCTAGTGGCACAAATGATTACACATCTACAATAAAGAAAGGGAAGTGCGAGGGAACGAACCCGGTTTCTCCTCCGAGGCCTCTGGGACTTCTGGCAGCTGGTCTGAGGGAACCTCGGGAAGCTCAACGTCTCCCTGAGGGACAGTTTAAAAGACGAGAGAACAGAGACGACACGAGATGAGGAAAAGGTTGAAGAGCAGAGCTGCTTTGGATCCTCTGAGCCACTGATTTCATCTACATGAAGGAGTTCAACCCTCGTACTGGCGGTGATTAGACCAACCTGAGTTATGGCCTCCAGCTCAGCCAGAACAGCATCCTCATCTTCTTGTGATAAAGATCCAGCCAGCATCTCGTCTATTTGCTGCGGAGACACAACGAACAGCTTTATATTGCAGGTCAGAGTTCAGCTGAACGTCTTTAAAGTCAATCGCTGTCCTGTATTCCTGACATAAAGATTGAGGCTTACCCTTTGGTACTCAATGGCATCTTGGGTTTCATCCATAATGCGCTCTACTTCTTCAACAGACATCACCTAACGCGGGAAGAACAGAGCTCGTCAGTAACCGGTGACACAGGCAGAGGATGTGATGCATCACACGTGACTTTACTTCGCCTACCTCGTGCATTTTCTTCAGACACTCGTTTCCAACCTTCAACCCGTCGATCACTTTCCTTTCGATCTGGGCAAACTCCAGGTCTTGAACCTGAAATGAGCCGAAAAGAGAAGAACCGTTAGTTTCCCCTTAGCGTCGCCGCTACACGCCGGGTGGGTCGGATCCTCCGATGCTCACCATGCGCTCCAGGTTGCCGATCTGGTTCTCCGTCTTGTCCAGAAGTTGATCCTGGTAGCGTTTCTTTTTCAGTAGGAGGAGTGCTTTACTGTTCGAGTCACAAAGACAGTGAAGGGGTTAATATTTAGTTTTGTGATACAGTGTTATAAACGTAAACTGAGGGCTATGGTGTTGGATGTTACAGAGATAAAGAGATAAATACATCAGACAATCTTCTTTTATACTACAGTTTTGATAAAACTAGATTAAAAATAATAAATATTTCAACGTATCGGTTTACAGTATCACAACACAGTCGCAGGTATCCAATTCACAACCACACAGAGAGAGCTTTTGGTTTTCTGACTATAAACTGAACTTCACATTAACATTGAGCTGTAATCCGTTCCTATACTCACTCTTTTTTGCCATTTTTCAGCAGCTGCTTGGCTAACAGTCGCTCCTTATCCAGCTGCAGGTTGATCCTCTTCTGATACTGCCTCAGTTTATCTCTCTGCTGTTTCAGTTGCTGCAATAAGGAATCAGAGACACAGTCAGTACACCCACACATATACCTCATTAACATCATACAGCACCTTCTTGTTGTGCTATGCAGCTGTCAGTGCCATTACAGTGCAGGCAGACAGGCTGCTGTCAAACTCTACAGTAGCTGCAATCTGAGTATCTGCAGTAAATCATTCACCCTGTAAAACACCAGTCATAAGAAATAATTATGAGACTTTCAAGGCCAGACTTACATTATGCTCCTGGGATAAAATCGGCATACAAGTAGCAGAGCACCACTTTCATTTAAGTAGTTAATATCTCAACTTTTAAAAGGGAGTTATAGTGTCTTAATGGTGCAGCTTGAAGGCTGAAATTAACACACCACAGCCTAAATAATGATATTGTTCAGATACAGCAGAGCCGAATTGAAGAGTATGTCAGAGAGTGTTAATGGTGAAGTTTTATTATACATATATTTGGTGTCTCCGGCTGGTGACACGCAAAGTTATGAAATGACCACAATTTTTCAACGCGGTTCGGCGTGGCTCGCTTCCGTTCCATGACAGGGGGGGCTAATGCTAGCTAGCCTGTGACACTTACCAGAATCGCTTTGTCTTGTTCTGTAACTCGAGTTTGTTTCTTCTTCCCGAAAAGATTTCCCATCCTGACTCAGCATCCCAGCTACAGTGTGCAACCGGGAACCGAACGGGAAACTTCTCCGCTTTCAAACTGTTTTCTAACTTGCAGTGAAAAGAGAGAGACTAGTGGAGCTTCTCCTCCATTATTTGTGTAGTCATCTGTGTCCACACCCACAGCAGGAAGGACGGCATCTGGGCAGGGACAAAAACCGGAGGAACGAGCTCTGGCAAAAGACTCAGATATAGTTGAACATAAGCAATAAATAATGTTTAAATTTACATTTATTATGTCATTAAATTACGTTAAGTCTGCGCCAAGCGTGAAATAAAACGAACTGAATATGTAGAATCACGACTGTTTACTGCCCCCCGGTGGTCAGAAAGGGGAACTACAGCACAGTATTCGTTAAGCTAGCGTCAATAAGGACACAACAGCGTGTAACGACTTCCGGTCAGTACCTTCAAAATAATGTGCTCAAACTGAATAAACGAACTAAGAAATTATCGTGAAATCATCAAAATCGTTGTTATTGATGATTGTTAATTATACAGATGTGTGCACTGGTTATTAATATTATTTAGAAGTATCAGTAAAATGATTGTAACTGTATTAACAATCTATTCTTTATCAAACTAGTATTTTGCTCTTTTTGCTCAGTTTTTCTTTGGAACTGGAAAAGTATTTTAGCAGTTTTGTACCTGTATTTAATTTCACCTAATGTCAACTAAATAAATGTAGTGTAATATAAATCACAATTTGTTGTGCATTACTCACAATAATTTAAAAAATATACATTTTCTTATACTACTACAACTACTACTAATAATAATAATAATAATAATAATAATAATAATAATAATTATGTTTAGATTAATGCTTTTTGTGCTCACTTACAAATTCCCAAACAATTAACTTGATCGTCGTTTTGATCACTGTATTTTGAAAGTACTTACCGGAAGTGTGGTATGTTCCCATGTTTGAATTGACGCTGTTTTTACTATTTTATTGTGTTGCAGTTCTCCACTGTGGCCACAGGAGGGCAGTGAACACTCGTGATAATGACTCTGCTTCCCTTCTGTGTTAATATTACAGATATTTTAAACACTAGAGCTAAACTTTATACTATTATAACACTAATATCCATCTCTAAAGAATATTAATAACGATTTTTTTAATAGTTTTGTGTTGTATTCTGAAAGTATTCGCCGGAAGAGTGGTAGGTTGTCTTGTGTGCATTGACGCTAGCTTTTAAATGAGTAGTTGTAGTTGCGCACAGTGACCACTGGAGGGCAGCAAACACTACAGACTAACACATTTTAATAAATTCTATCGTACGTTTATGAATACCTTTAACAGACAGACGATATAATAATTAATTAATATAAAGTTTTACCTTTTAAATATACACTTAAAAACGCATGTTTAATACAGTAAAATAATACTTAGGCCTACTGAGCTCACTTTTTTTGCTACATTTTAAATAATTAGCATTAAAAGTTAGAAGTTAACACATGATGGCAGACTTCCGGTGAATAATTTCAAAATAAAATGTTCAAACGACATTGGCTTACGGGCACAGTGACGTTGAAGTTTTTTTTTTCTGCTTTGCTTTATTGAACAAAAAGAAAAAAAGTAAATAAAAAAGGTTAAAATAAAAACGAGAAATAAGACTAATAGCTTAATATTAGTATATATAATAACAATCAGAAACGTTATCTAGCATTAATGGTAGCATACCACCAGGTTAACCAAGTTAAAGTCACATTTAACAGAAGCACTTAAAACCATATATTCTCATGTTTCTTGTTTCCACTCGTCTTTTTCTGTATTTGTTACTTTTTGCTGTAAGAGATTTAATGTAAAGCTCATTAAATTTACTGAAGTTGTTCATCCAGTGTGTAAAATGGTTAAAAAGCCTCATTAAGACCATTCAATTATTTTCTAATTGAATGGCATATATAAAGAATTTACTGTTGAATTAAAACAAGACTAAAACTAAAGGGTGTTTCAGCAGTGTGTCAGTTCAGTGTCTCACTTTCTGGTCAGTTCATCAAAAAAAGGACCAAACAATAATTTGGATTAACATTTATTCATGAAAAGGTCGTGTAGAGACCGTAGAGTTCATTAATGACAAGTGTCCATCCAGACATGCGGGCGATACAGGAGGAAAATACAGCACACAGCTAAACCACAGTCTTTAAAAAATAAAATCAGTGCACAGATAATCTTACAAAGATTGCATAATATAAAGAAAGGTTATAAAATATCCCAGAAATAGTGCAATTTTACCACCACCAGGAAAATAAAACAAAACCTGCTCCACCTTCGACGCCAATCGCTCCACTTTCCACAGAGCCAGAGAATAGTTTGGTTTTCTTTGTGTGAACTGGATATGATGCTTTTTGTTCAGGACACGGGGGGGGGAACAAAGACGATGTTACTTGGGTGGCTACATGATACTGAAACTGACGGTTAAATGCCACAGAACACATGAATGTTACGATAAAATTCAAAGAATGTTTGCTTTTGGGAACAAATACCCGACATTGCACCTTGGGAAAACAAATATAAAATGTGTGTACGACATCCCAAGAACCATCCATCCTCGCCACACGTCAAACAGAGCCAGGCTTTTATTTTGTCCCCTGTGAGAGGGAACGAGGCTACATGTGTGCAAAAACATAAACGTTAATAGCTTTTAAATAAAGTTTTCACATTTAAAAGGATAGTGCATGGACTGAACCTAAGGCATCGCTCTCTTCCTCAAGTTTAGCATATTTGAATCTTTAGTTTAGGAAATGTGGTCTCATGTTTGGAAAGTCAGCTGGCTTCACTCCTCTTCCCCCTCACACACACACATATTTCTATTAATGACTGAGAGTTATAAACCAGCTCTTACTCAACTTAATTTAATGACGACAGAGTAAATAAAGTCTGCAGCAGATCAGCTCCTCCCACCACAAAGCATCTGTGCCAGGAATCTGAGAGTTAGACACACGATGGAGCTCAGACATCTTATTCATTAAGTATCTAGAATTCATATCAAAAACCTTCGGTTAGCTTTAAAACTCATCTTCTGCTCAGCGGCTGTTCTATGACTCAAACTTCCATAAAACATGAGGAGATATTCTGTTACACCCGTCTGTGATTCAATCCAGTACAATCCCCCTGCAGCGGACACTTCCTCTGAACATTATCTCGTTGAGTTTCCAGGACAGTTTGTGTTGCTGCCGTCAGCTGTTCCTGTTATTTTGTCCACCCCCTTGAACCGAGCCGCAGCCGAAAGCCTCAAACTGTAAAGGATCGAGTGAGTTGAGCGGCTCAGTTGTAGACAAATATCCCCCTCCAGGTCCGTTCAGGACGGTTAACACAATAAAACTCTGGTGAACTGTCCCTTTAAATTCCACTGACTCACTCTGCCCTGAATGACGAGAAAAAATTACAATTTATCGGTTTGCTGATCGGGATTGAACCAACACCGCACCCGCTGGTACAAATACGAGATTATGAGGCTACACACAGTATTTACAACACAGTAAACACACACACACACACACACACACACAAGATAGGGTTAACAAAACAGCTGTGTGAGTAAAAGTGGCACCAAAGTGAAACACGGTCACTGCGGACCCCCCCCCCACCGGAGGCCACAACGTACATTCAATATCTGTTATCAAAAATCCACCGGGCTCAGATTCCTCAAACACCGCCTGGATCTGAACGCCATCGGGCCCCGGCTAACGTCTGACGAGGGCAGTGTGCTACATGTACTGGTGTGCATATTCTACACTACATTCCCAAAGCTATGGGTTCTAGTTCAAAGCTAAACCTACAGAGAGGAAGGCCACAGGGCAAAAAGAACAAAACGACCTCATCCCAACATCCGTCGGCTCCTCGAGAGCGTGCATGCTGAAACACTCCTGGAGAACGTGGCGTTTAAATGCAGGTCTGGACGTTAAGATGTGCATGCTGGTGTCAAATAAAGAGGAGAGACTGGTTTGTAAAGTAGGGGGCTGTAAAGGTCTAAAGACTCTGTGGAGAACTGTCTCTCCAGCGTTGTTGGCTCCTCCCACTTCCCCACGTCACTTCTAGAACTATTATGCAAACTATTTCTGCACATGCAACCGACACAAAAACAAACAGTAGGTCTCAGTTTCGCTGTGTGAGGAGGTGTGTGTGGTTCAGAGATGTGCTTTGGTACGATCGTGGATGGATCTCAGTTCTGGTTGTGCTTAAAAAACTGTTTCACAAACACAAGAGACGAAAAACATCAGAAGAGACGAGCAAACACGTTTACTGGAACGCCTCCCTGGAAGGAGAGCGGATGGATTACAAAGCATAAATATTATATATTATTTATATAGATATTGGTTTTCCTTTCAATGACTCCCTGTGAAGATAAAAAAACACCGGTAGAAAGAGGAGTAGGTGTTGCAGCGGCGTGTCGAGAAAGACCGCCGCCCGGTCAGTGCCATTCAGAAAACACGGAGCACCAGTGGACGAGGGTTACACACACGCACGCCTCAGACCCAGAGAGAGGGGCCGTGAACAGCCCTGAGCCTGAACACACACACAGTCAGTCCTAGTGTATGTGAGCCCCCCCCACCCAGGACTGTCCCGTTCATTTAAGGGGCGGTGTACGCGGGTTTTTGCGTGGAGCGGGCGAGTGCTGGCGTGAGCCCTCAAGGCGTCGAAGCCTGGCAGGTTGGGATCGGTCGGTCCTGGTCGGTCACCGGCCGGCTCCCTCTCAGCTGGAGCTCAGAGCTGGTGCACGATGCTGTCTGTGTGGTTGACGGACACCGGGCCGTCCTGGCGCAGGCGCTGCCACTGGAAGGTCGTGCTGAGGGAGCCGACATCGTCCTGCTCGTTCTCCTGCTCCTTGGCAAACTCCATGAACACCTGCAGGACAAACACACAGAGGAGGAGGAGGAGGAGACGGGGGGAAGAGTTACAATCATACAAAGCAAAGAAAGGCGGCAAATCACTCTGTTCAAACCAGACTCCATTCACAAAAACAGTCATTTTACAGGCAGAACCAGGAGTTGCTGGTCTACTGCTGCCTCAGTTACTTGAGTTGTTTGTTTGATTGTAAGACTGAATTCAGATCCAAACTCCTGTGTCCTGCAAGGTAAAATCCCAGTTTTTTGTCAATGGAGTCTGGTGGCGTTGGACAGAGCGAGGCTGTGACTCTCTTTCTGGCACAAACAAGCACTTTGGACGTACACTGGTACGTCAGTGCCCAGAAGGATTACAGCTTCTCGCTCAAGACTGGATCAATCTCAAAATACTGTTGTTGGAAAAACAGGCTCCAGGTTGAATAATGTCAAAGTTTCACAAGTTAACACATTAATTTCATTGTTTCAGCAGTAATTTGAACAGCAGTTTAAATAGAGTCTGGCATCTTTAACCACCTACCTGCTCTAAGGTCGACTGGGAGAAGTTGTACTCCTCAAAGTTGAAGGTTTGCTTGGCTGAAGATAAACAGAGATTAAGAAGAGAAATTGCATTGAATGAGTCAGCAGGTAAGTCCCAGATGGTTGCTGTGTGTGTGTGTGTGTGTGTGTGTGTGTGTGTGTGTGTGTGTGTGTGTGTGTGTGTGTGTGTGTGAGACAGTGACTCACCACTCTCTAACTTAGAGAAAGACTTGGACAGTGATTTGACATCCTCCATGGGGATCTTGTAAACCATCAGAGTAGCAAAGCTGCAGAGAAAGCAGCAGCCAACAGAATGAGGCATGTTCATGTAGGAGTGTGTTACACTGTTGCACTAAATTATGAACAAGGCATTACACATTTCTTAAAAAGGGTACATTTCACTTTTCCAAAGAAGAAATACGAATATATTTTTAAATGTAGAATTTAAATGTAGTTTAGTGTGTTAGCATGCATAAGAAACTCAATGTTCCTTCTCTTTTTGTTTCCCTGTTTGGTTTCTACACAGCTGCTCCTGGGCAACGTGACACAACAGACAGACAGACTGGGTCTCACCTCTCCTGCCGGGCAGCGTGAGGGAAGATTCGAAGGATCTCTTTGTGCAACAGCGCCACCTGCTGTAGCCCCGTCAGCTCCTCTCTGAGTTTTACCTCCAAACTGTAGCCTCGACCGTATTTCCCCTTTAAATGCTGGATGGAGCCGATACATCTGATAGAGCCAAACAGACAGAGCATGAAGATATCTGTTCTTTCAGATACCGTCCATACACAGTTGTGAGTACTAACCTCAGCTGGCCCGACACCATGATAGCTACACGGTCACACACGGCCTCCGCCTCCTCCATGTAGTGCGTGGTGATGATGGCTCCCCGCTGATGGTTCTGGAAAGCAGCACGAATGGCCCTCCTACGTAAAATGAGATACCGAGGTCACAGACTGATGTTAAATGTGACAGAGAGACGAAGTGAGAGGCAGAACGTCCTCGTGAAGACGAGACTCCTCCACAGTTAAGTGTCTTCCAGCCTGAACCTACTCTCTGTGACCAAGGTTAACACCTATCAAAGGAAAACTGCATCACAATTCATGACAGAATTAATATCTTTTGAGAAGGAATGAATTAAATAAACTGTAAAGTCTTAATTAAATTACAATGAAGCTGTGGTGCGATATATTTTAATTTTGTCTAATTTGGAGAACATTAAGGTTTGTTTTCTACAAAGAACTTTCACATTTTGACCTTTTTCTTGTGTTTAAACTGCTGTTTCGGAAAGATTGAAATCTTCTAATTTAATTGAATTAAGTCTAACCTTTCCTTTGACAATAAACTGAACAGCTGAACACGTTAAACACACAGTAGAATCGAGGAAAGTTGAGGAATATTCTTGTCATGAGTAAAATCTCACCACATGCGCTGTTTAGACTTGGGGTCCATTCCTGATGACGGCTCATCCAGTAACACGATCTGAGGATTCCCAATCATACTCAAGGCAAAGCACAACTGTAGACAAACACGACAACAAAGGGATCAAACAACAACAAAACTGATACAATGAATACATGACACATGAAAATTCAATGTTTACTCATAATGAATAAAAAAGACTCATCCAGGTTGTAAGATGCTTAAAAAATAAACTGGAATTAAAAATAAACTGGAATTAAAAATAAACTGGAATTAAATTACATTTGTAAATGTTTTGCTGTTCCTGTAAACTGGTCCCTAAACCGTAAACATTTTAACAATTTGAAGTCCGTTGGATTCTTTATAATACTATAATATCTTCCTGCACAGCTGAGTGAGTTGAGCCTTTGTTTAGTTAAAAATGGTGAACTGACCTTCCTCTTGAGTCCTGCTGACAGGTTCTTGGCTTGTTTGTTCAAGTGCTCCTTGAGCTCCAGAGCGTTCACCACACTGACAACAACAAAAACAACAACAAGTCACAAAAGCTCTGTCAGCTACTTTTACCTCTTCTACTTGACTTATTATTATCACAATAAAACTAAAGTAAATAAAAGCTTGAATAAAAACCCTTCTTGTATCTCCTCCACCATTAAGTTCCATTCAATTTACAGATAAACTATTTACAATCTACATTACATGAGTGATAGAAATGTGTAACATAAACAGAACACAAGGGTTAGTGCATAGCTTTACATGGCTGTTGGTTGATCAGTGCCTTTAACAGCTCAGTCTGATGGTGAAAGTGAGAGTGACGTGAGACTTACCGTTTGATGATACCTGGTACATCCTGTCCTCTCAGGCCCTTGATGGCGGCATAGATGTCCAGGTGCTCCTGCAGAGTGATCCTGGGCCACAGAGGGTTCACCTGTGGACAGTAGCCCACATGTTCCAACGGGTTGTCCACCTGACGAAACTCTGTACTATAGTCCCCCATCAGCACCTGGACAAATGCAAACAAACGGTCAGTTGATGTACTGACAATATTATGTTATGCATCCTTCATCCATCATCCATCTCTCATTTCAGTCTGTCTCTCAATTTTACTTTACTGGAGAAAAAGGGATTTTCTTTTTCAGATCTCTTTTCAAATCAAGGACATTATATGTAAAGGTCACAATACTGGTAACAGGAAGAGGAGGGGTTGTCATGCATTACAGAATAACAATCAAGCCTTCCTAAGTCCCGCCCCTTTTTGCTCAATAGCAGTTGAGCAAGCCTCGGTCAGAAGTGCTTGCTCCCCTGTTACATTACAAGTCAATTACATTTTCTATAATTTCAGCGAAATTACTTCAATTTTTTTCTAATAATTAAATATCAGGTTGAAATAGAATCAGTTAGATCAGGAAGTGATATTCCACAGCAGAGACAAGGAAGGTAGCATCTGCACTGTACCTGGCCTGCAGTGGGGTCTGTGTCACCTGACAACATATGCATGATGGTGCTCTTTCCTGCTCCGTTGGGACCCAACAGTCCAAGAACTTCACCTGAAGAAACAGCATTTATTATTAATTTTTTTTAAGTTCCCTCGTGGATCGCCACAGTCCAAACAATCTAATGAGCACTGATCCACTTGACAAAAACAAACCTTTGCGAACGCAGAAAGAGATGTTTTTTGTGGCCACTTTCCTCGTCTTGTTCAGAGAAAAACCTTCTCTTCTGCCCTTGTGCTGCTTTCTCAGGTTACTCACAACCACCACCGGTTTCTAAACGCACAAGACACAGAGAAATAAATTTAACTGCTCAGCAAATACCTTATGATGGCTAGTGGGCGAAAAAATACTACGAATAAAAATAAATCCTGCAAATTCAGGTTCTCTAGCTTCCCTTTATGTAACCTGTACTGTACCAAAGATAGATATCCACTCACCTCCTCACAGGACTGGCAGGTAAGAGCCTCCTTCACTCTGGCTTTCTCCATCTGAACATCCTCATCCTCGTTCAGACCTTCTTCTGGGTTCCTCTCCACTTTGGGCTGTGACTTGGATGAGATCCTGTGAAGGTTAAAATAAAAACATAAAGCTGGTTAAACATTTGTAAATTAATTAGTGAAGCTATTGTAACAAATGAAATGGCAAATTATCTTCCATCATTGTAATATGAACTCGTATTTCACACGGACAGCTTCTCAGTCTGAATTGATATTATATTAGTTTAAGTAATAAGCCTCTGTGCTAAATAAAAATAGAACACACCAAGGCTCTGTGTAATCTGAGTTGTGACCTGAAATCTAATCATCACCTGCAGAACTGATCGTTTTTCATCGTCCTCCCTCCGTAATGGAGCTCCAGCCAACGAAGCAGGAACAGTAGCAGGATGCACTGGAGATAGGGCTGAGCACAGAAACACACACATACAGTATTACGGCGGGACACACACTGTCTCTTTTGTCTGAACATAGCAATGTCTGGGTAAATAAAAATAGATACATACAGCTACAACCGCAATGAGCAGATTTTTCCACAAGAAGTTCTCTTCATACTGAGAGGGGAGGAAGGTCGCCTGTAAACGGAGAAAACGTGTAAGTTAGTTGTTCCATTTCTAAGAAGGAACCCATAAAACATTAATGTAACAGAAAACAACAATTTGCTATGTAAAGATCAGATTCATGGAATGACGTCATGCTCCGTCTCCCTGTGTTGCTATCCCAGTCTATCTGTGCCTTGTTTACTTCTGGCCACACATACATGTGAATCCCTCTGTGTGCAACTGAGCAGAGTGACTGAAACTGCTGTTTTTATCATCTATGTCAGTGACTTAAAGATTTATTTCAACCAAACTAAAGTTGGTGATTGTTGGAACAGTGGAAAGACAAACAAAATATATGAGTTTCACTTTGTTTCCATCCAGTTTGCAGCGTGTGTTACTATTATCCTCGAGGTAAACTGGGTTGGTCTATGGAGGCTGTCCAGTTGTTTTGGTTTGAGACGCCATGCTAGTGGCAGTGAATTTCATATGTAAAACCTTCAATGCAAGTTCAAAGACAAAAAGGCAGACAGTCCACTGAAAGAACTGGTTGCTACGGTTGAAATCCTACCTTGGTGATGCAGTTGAGGCAGCCCATGAGTGGGTACAGAGGGTTGAAGAAACACAAGGCGTTGTGCAGGTTTCTGGTCAGTCCGGGGTTTTCTGACAACTGAACCAGCGAGGCTGACACAACACACACCTGAGGCATAGGTCGCTCAGTTAGTGTGCAAAATCCTTTCATGTGAATCTAATAATGACCGTCATTCAAAAGCAGAATTTCATAATAAAATTGTTTTGGTGTCAAAGTTAGAAAATGAAGATGAATCTCTTTTAGGATCACCAAATGTACAGTGATACTTACATTTAAAAAGGTGGCTAACACCAGTATTTTCAATGTATATACACAAGGAATGCCCCTTACCATCATGGAGATGACAGAGAAGAAATCCCTGTTGCTCTGGACTCGGGCAAAGCCAAAAGAAAACACGTAAGTGAAGAGGATCATGGCTGGACCAAAGCCAACGGTACACAGGACCTAGGAGAGGGAAGAAGGGAAATCATAAAACGTGTCTCAATGGTAATATTACCATCAATATTAATTGCATCATGTTTAATATATTATATATTTCATTTTAGAACGTTTTTGAGACATTAATTGAGCATTTTGTCCCATATGTGTTATCTGAAAGTTAAATCTAGATTATGTGAAATAGGTGCAACAGAGGGGCAGGCATTTTGCACAAAAGTAGGTATTTTTTGTCCAAGGGGTGTGTGGAAGAGGAGTGGTACATGTCTGTGTGAGCCACCAGGTATAAACAGCAGTACGGACCACAGCGGTGAGGTTGCTGGAGGTGAGCAGGTTTCCAGTGTGAAAGGAGAAGAGGATGATGGTCATGCAGGACAGGATGAGGTAGTAGAAGGGAATGTCCACAGCTGCCTGACCGCACCAGTAGGCTGATGGAACCAGACCAGAGATACGCAGAGTAGAGCGACACTTGATCTGAAGGAGGAAAGACAGGAGAAGATACAAGTCAACACATATGAAAATATGAGACTATATCTGACATCTACTGCATTATTTCATTGACTTATAATCAGGATAGTGAATCTTTGGGAAAGCCAACAGTAACGGGAGACTGTAATGGAAGAATACAAAGAAAATAAAATCTAATCAATTGCTATGAGCTCTAGAGGAGGCGACACTATTGGAGCGACAGAACCTTCGGTGACTTGGGAACCCTGATGTGCCAGATGTATCTACCACACAAACCATGTAACAGTGACATACCCGGTTTGACTCTTCAGGACCTTTCACATATGTGGTCCCCTCCTTTTCATGTTTCCTGCTGCTCACTACTTCTCAAAACTGTCCAATAAAGGCAAAGTGCCACAAAAACAATCTTTTAAAATGAGAGGAGGAACAGGGGAGGAGTGGTTTATGAGTGCACAATATATTTACCCATGTAGGTCCCTCTGCAGTAAAATCAATCCTCTCTCTCTTTTGTACAAAGCTAGGTTACAATTCAAAATTAAGAAATCAGAATATGTCCAAATGTGTGTGTCCATGCTGTGAGTGCAATATTTCTACTCTTTGTGAAATCATCATCATGTATAACTGGTTACCTCTCGATCTCGAGTGTGGTCCATGGCAAAATACGCAGGCATTCCAGCTGCCAGCATTCCCAGTATGATGGCCTCTATGTACACCAGAGCATAGGATGTAGCATCTGGGATTTGCTGAGGGATGTCACAATGGATACAGTTAATATCTTTAAATGGCACAAGTAAACAAAATAGATAAGATCTGTGCGGTCTCACTTCGTCAAATACTCACGTAATCAAACGGTTTGGTCCAGGTTCGGATCTGTCCAGTACCATTAAGACCTCTAAGAAGAGCATTGCTTAGTACATTGACAGCCATAGGCAAAGAGTGAACTGTGGTGCTGTTGAATGCAATGCTGTATCTGAAACCCTGTTAAGAGAAAGAAAAGGCAGTGTTAAAGAGCCACATTTCCACCAAGCAGTCCAGTTCAGTTCAGTTTGTGACTCATTAATAATTATTTGTGCTTTTCCACAATAGAACCACTCTATTCCATCCCGGGTTTGAAGGGTACTATAATGAAAGTGTTTGGTGGAAATGCGGCTTAAATATAAGGCTCAGCAGCCATGAAAAAAGGGCCCTTCATCTGGAACATTACTGTTACAAATGCTGCAGCAGAGGTGAGGCCACATCTGATGCTTTATCTCCAGTTTCATTAAATATCATGTATCAAAAAATGTATTCAATCTGTGTCTAAAATGACCTTGCTGGATCCTGTTACGTTGATGGCAGCGCTGTGGGGAGCTGCGGCCATGTAGTCGCTGTGTTTCATCATTTCCACTTTGATGTTCTGAGACTCCAGGTTGTGGACGAAGTCAGAAATATCAGAGCCTGTTGGCACAAGAACAAAAAAACAAAGCACTGCTAACTCACATGTAAGAAAACTGCACTGTAGGGAGCTCATAATGGAGAATGCAGAGAGAGTAAAGGAATATTCAGAGGACAATCATCGAGGAGATCAGTTAGAATGGCACCCATGGGAAACTTTCTTATCGATTAGGATTTACTGTGTAATTTAACAGTTGCACTGCAGTCAGTATCCCATCACAATATTTACAGCACGCAGCACTTTCTTAAAGAAAGGAGAGATCAATCATTGAGAGGACATATAACAAAACATGAAAGCAGACTTTCCTTCAAAATTAAATCTAATACAAGGTCTAGGTTTCAGTTGTACAGCAAATATTCTGGTGCAAAATATCAGCCTCAGGTCACAAAACAAAATCTTATCCTTTGGACAAACCTCCAGCGGACCCACCTGAGGAGTTTTGAATCAGGAGGCTGGTAGTGTATCTCCGGGGCGCCTGGTTCCTTTTGAGGAGGTAAATGGGCAGAAACTGACGGTCTGGGGAGTGAATCTGGATGTTTCCTGTGGCCAGAGATAGGACAAGCACTGCAGCAACAAACACCAGGAACAGGGCCAAACTGCAAGAGAAGGGAGGTAGTGAGAAAAGACAGGATGAATAAAAGGGACAATGTCTCAGAAACACACAAGTTCAGATTCTTTATAATCCTGCAGTTGAATATAGACCTTTTGATCTATCTACCTATATCCGACGGATATATCAACTGACCGATATTATGGGTCTGTACTGGTCTACTGCTATTACATCAACATTGGTCTTTATGTTATCAGATATGTGCCGATAGGAAAACTGTTTTTCCAGTTTATAATGCAGAAAATATAGAATGATGATATCCAGGAGAGTCCTGCATGTTGAATCAACATGTTTCTAGAATAGCTCAGAACGAACAAACCAAACACTAGCTCTAGATCGGGCCTTTTGCCTTTTTACAGCCACCATTGTTTATCCCACATGCTTGGAAGGCAAGCGGTATTCAGTTGGTTGCAATCTGCAACTCACCACTGGGTGCCATTAAATCGTACACAATGGTCCTTTAAGAAGTTCATGTTAGCAAATTAAATATTAACACACATAAGTTTGAGTATATTAAAATGTACATCTTACGCAACAATCGCTCTTTCAAGTGCCGGTGTATGTGAAAACAAATTCTACATACTAATAAAAACAATTAGCAAAAATAGCTATTTTATCATGTGATATTTCACAGCAAGTTAAAGGTTTCAGGGTCTGCATTTTGTTTTCACATCAGTTTTGTCTCTGAACACTCACGTGTAAACAAAGGCCTTCCTCTCTCTGCGCATGTTGAGCATGTGCAGCCAGGCCACGGTGCTGAACTGCTGCCGCCACAGAGCGTGACCCGACACCACATCTGACTTGCTGTCCGAGAATGTCAGCAGCCGCTGGTCTGTATCGTCCAGAGAGACGTTGTCACTGTCATCCTCTTTCTGCTCCCGATTAAACACACTGTAGTCTGAAGACATTAAACAAACAAAGTAATACTCATTTGTACAAATGTAGTCATTTTATTGATTTAGGAAGTAGTTTTATATTGTTGTTAATGTAATGACACTCCTCATTGCTTTGGTAACACACTCACCAGCTTGGTCCACTTCAGCCTCTGCCTCCAAACGAAGAAAAACATCCTCCAGTGTAGTCATGGAAACCCCATAATTGATAATTCCCAGATTGGGTTGACCGTCGAGCTCAGAGAACAAGCCTATGAAAGACAAATTAATCAGTGCTTGCTGCTGGTCTACTGCTGTTACAGTCAAAGCTGAGTAATTATTTTAGCATCTGTCTGTGTGGGGTGTCGATGGTGAGAAGGCTGGCAGTCAAAGGGAAACTAAGTAAATGGTCTTGAACACTTCTGCACTAGCTGTAAATGTGGGATTTTACCAACTAGCACCAATGTTGTCATAAACCATTTATACATATACAACATTTAAAATTTGTCCCAGATCAGGTTTTATGGTAAATAAATAACAGACTATTTATATTACTTAATTATTAGGTAGTGATCTGACCTGGGAATGTGTCCATGCTCTCAAAAGGCAGAGTGAATGTTAACTCTGCCTCATGTTGTCGGGACAACTTTGCCTTGGGAACATGCTGCTTGACCACTAATGTGATCTTTTCAGCTTCACATCTCTCGTTGATAGACATTCTGCGATGGAGGAAAAACACATAAACATCAAACTATTGGCTAAAGACCGATATGCGGTTAAGACACAGGTTATTAGGATGTAGGTAAAATACAACATTGAACATTTATTAAAATCATTAAAGTATATTTTTTACATGCCATCAATGTTTTTGCCCTTTTCAGGATTTGTACATAGTTTTATACATTTATCAGCTCATTCATAAAATGGTTCATACTTGGTTTTAAGTGACTTGTTATCGTGTAGTAAGTTCCAGTACTTGAAAGCTGCAGTAGTAAACTAAATGATCTACTTGCCTGAGATGATATCCAACACCACACTTGATCTTGAGATACAGAGAAGAGCCAACACATTTCAGCTGTCCTTGAGAGATTACAGCTTTACGGTCTGGAGAATAAAAACCATCAGTGTTTAACAATAACAAGCAGCTGGCTACAAACAATATGCAATTATGAGTGCTGAAACATCAGTTTTTCCTCAAATTTAAACATGAATAATGTCAACTGTCGGAGTAAAGAAGCAGCTCTTTTATGAATACAAAACTGGAGAAAGTTGGCACAAAGTGGCTTATGCTAGGAGCAGAACTTGGATGAATCCCTGAATGTCTTGTGGACTGTGTGTCATAAATTAACATAATGGCATGGGAGCAATGCACAAAATAAAATAAAAAAAACATCTAAAATCTTCTTAATTTCTGCTTTTAAACTATATAAAATTAGCAAGAGTAAAATGTAAATTTGACCCTTTTATTTTCCAAGTTGGGATGACATCTCCCTAATGCGTTTGGTGCCTGTGGGTCAGTGCATGTTATGCAACAGAGAGTTCATACCAGCAAGAATGTCAGCCTCGTCCATGTAGTGTGTGCTGAGGACAGTGACTCTGCCAGCTCTGCGGCTCTTCAGCAGCGACCAGACCTGGTGTCTGGAGCAGGGGTCCATGCCTGCTGTGGGCTCGTCCAAGAGCAGGATCTGACAGGTACAAACGTGATGCAAACTGTTTAGAATGGGCCCAAGCTGATGTTATCCTGCTAGGGCTGGTGACACAGTTACTGATAACTCCAGGCATTTCCAAGACTTTTTATTGTGAGACCAGGATAGAAGACACATTTAAAGTAAAAGCACTTTTCCTAACAAGCTCCAGGTACCTTAGGATCTCCAAGAATGGCAATGCCAACAGAGAGTTTCCTCTTTTGGCCTCCACTCAGATTCTTGGCCTGAGCAGTCATGATCTTCTCCAAGTCCAGATCCTTCAGCACTTTGGTAACCTAGTAGGAAGAAGTAAAATCACAGCAAGGAACAACAGCCTGACCCATGTCACTTTCTTAAAGAAACTGTCCCTGCAGTCAATCTCGCAGTACATTTCTGAGTAAGACGTACGTATTACTATGTACTGTCATGCGAGAAAAGGTGGGGAGGGGGCTGGGGATTGTAAAGAGCATGGCTGACTTTTGTTTACACTTGCAAACAATTAGACAGAGGCAGTGTATAGATCATCACATTACCTCAGCATCGATGTCCCCCGGTGGGATCCCTTTAATGGCAGCAAATATCCTCAGGTGCTCTTCCACAGTGAGCACGTCAAAGATGATGTTGAACTGGGGGCAAATTCCCACCAGCTGCTTCATTTCTGACGCATCTGCAATCTCTGCTACAGGGGAGCCGTAGATAGTAGCCGAGCCGTTAGTGGGCGGGCAGATGCCACACAGGATGTTCATGAGAGTTGACTTGCCTGCCCCGCTGTGTCCCAGCAGAGCCGTGATCTGGCCCTCATAGATGTCAAACGTCAAACCTGGGGAGGAGATGTAAAGAAAGAGGAGGACAGAATCATGACAATCAATCAGAAAATCCACATTAATAGACACACAGTAGGAGTAACACTTATATTGTTTAATATTAATAATTTCAAGTGTTCAGGACTCACCTCTCAGAGCCTCCACCACATTGTCCTTCTCTCTGTACACTTTCTGGATGTTATTGATGCTGCCAGAGAAGAAGTAAATGAGCAATGATGAAAAAAATCAAACATAAAGGAGAGAAGTGTAAACACAGAAGCAGTGTCAGTGTTACAGGCTTGTCCCATAGGTTCTCCTCAGCCAGGACAAACAAAACAGTGAGTGTGGTTGGGCACCGAACCAAGAACAGAGCCAGGCTGCACTGAGCCTGACATTGATTTATGCTCATCTCTGAATGGATATTTGAATGAACACTCAGGAATTTGCATCCAACTGACATTCATGTACAAGTTCAGACTTTTACCGGATGGCTTCTTTCCCTCTGAACTCCGGTGAAACAGGCTCAACAGACTCGTCCACGCCAGGTGTGCCTTTCACCTCTGTGTCATATACTGAGCTCACTTCAACATAGCGCTTCCTGCGTTTGGACCAATAGGACGGCTTCAGGAAGTATACCAGGGACCTCCTCATTCCAAACTCACCTGCATTTCAGGCAAAATGTAATTAGTATTACACATAATAATACTCAAACATTAAAAAGTTAAGACTAAACCTAAGTTATCCCAGGAAACTTGGCTGTAATGGTGGTGGTTTTTATATTGAGGCCTACTGTGTGTGTGTACTTACCAGGCAGTACCTGGTCCAGGTAGATAGCCAACAAAAGGTAGAGGATACAGTCCACAACCAGCATGAGCAGGGGCACGTAAAGAGGATGGGGGCCGTTGGTGAGGGAGGAAAACACAGCACCATCTCCCTGGGCCTCCAGGTAAACCACCTACAATACACACACGTACGCAGATGGTCACACGAGATAACCAGTCAAGCATGGTGTGCGGATGTGGGTGAGTGTGTGTGTACAGTTTATTACCTGTGCAATCCCAATCGAGAAGGCGCTGGGAGAGAGAAGGCAGAGAAGCCAGACCAGTGGCTGTGGGAAGTCCTTCATCAGCACAGTGAACAGTGACAGGCAACCAAACACCACCGTCAGCATGGAGCCCACTGTGCTGGCAAACTTGGGCTTCTTAAATAACGGAGTCAGCATGAAGGAGAAAAAGATCTGTGAAATGAAAGAGAGAGAGAGAAGAGAGGAAGAAGGCAGAGAGTGATAGGAGGAGTGAAAAGAATCAGTACTATGAGAGCACTGACAGATAAAACTAAATAGTGTTGTAATTAAAACCTCCTGCCCTGTTACTTTGTGAGAGTTAATTACTGCTGTTTCCATGGCAATCACTAGTAACTTAATGTAGAGGGATTTTGTCTACGTTGCCTTACAGTTGTTGGGTGCTAGTGTCCCCCGTCCCGCTTTAGGGCAGGCTGCAAATCACAAGGTCACAGTCTGCGCCTCAACTCAAGCAATAAATTAACTCTTCATCTCGTCTCCACTCCAGCTCAACTGACTGCACAGAACAGCTGGACTGATAAGGATGGGCAAAAACACCATAGTTCCACTTTGTTACAGAAACCAAGGTTAAGATAAATCTCACAGACAGATGGTCTCTTTAGAATGGGTTGTATGCAACTATGAGTGTGTTTCAAAAGGATTTAGGATAGCTTAGGTAGGCATAGTTTCTTACTTTTTACGAATACACATCTTGATCTTTGCACATATTTAGCTGGGTAAATTATGACCACATTTGGGACACTAGTAGATCTTGTGGGTGAAGGTTTGTGTTAAATATCCCACCCAGGAGGTAACCTTCAGAACTGAGCTGGCATCTACACAGTGACTCCACTTGTACTGCTGACCTCTACTCTCCTCAATCACGCTTCAATAAATTCAGCTGTGTAAGTCATCAAGGTCTCCTGACAACCTCTTCAATTTCGAGTGAACAATCTATTACAATATTTCCTTTACACCAATGTCACCTGGATATTAAACAGGTATTACAAATGATGTTTCATAGCAAACAAAGCAACATGCTGTGGTCTTCTACCGCTTCCTACATTTAAAATTTCCTTAAAAACACACTGTCAACAGGACTATTTCTTCACTAGAGAGTAGTTTTGATGAAAACTGTTCACACTGAGGTCTGTGGATTACCCGGAATAAAAGGTACATTGTTCCTGGAAAGACAGTCATGTCATCTCAGTGACTTACCTCTATTGTATTTGGCTGGAGGCAGAAATCTTCGAAATGATTATCTCAAATGAAACCAAAACTACTTGTATGGTTAGACTCGGGGTAAATGAGACGCTACTAATGTCATTTGGGTCAGCTGACTATTTAAACAAGCAACACATCCGTACAAGTTTACTTTCCATCTATCACAGCTCTACTCACTGAGGATATGCCATAGAGGAAGATGAGCAAGAAGATGACAAAGAAGTCACTGTTAGGGAACAGAGCTGTGTAGGTAGCGATAACGGACATCAGGATGGACATGGTGGTCACCAGAGCAGCATACAGGAGGCCCCATGACAACCTGTTGTACAACATAAAAACTTAAAACCATATACACAATCACATGTTCTTACGCAGGTTTCTTTCACATTATTTTCATCCAAACAAAACCTAAACAAGAGTCTGAAACTACAGCGACTGAAGCCCTTTTCTCCCTCACCAAAAAGCAGTGTCGTAGAGCCCCATCATGGTCATGGTGTCTTTGAGGCGATGTTCCTTCTCAGCTGCCACGTTGACAATGAGGAAGGTGACGAAGGGCGTGAAGGCCAGGACCAGGTAGATGGAGATGAGAGCGTGGGGGAATTTCTGAACTTCCACAGAGCCCTGCTGACCCATCATTACTACCTTCAGGTCCATCTCACTCCACACTGAACGCTTTGTTTGCATCTGTACACGAAAGATGAACCGTTATAGATTAGTTTATCTTTTCTTTTCTTCTAAAAAATCATCATTAGATCTGGGGGTCCAAGGTAACATTTTTAAATTGCTTGTACACTTAATTTAGTTGGTTGAACAGATACAGATAATGGTGTACTCGCTCATCCCCAGTTTAATCAATTCATTCACAACTAATAAAATAACAGATGAATTGTTTTAGCATTATATTAAACCCTATTCATACTTAAACCATTCATGCCACATTTTGTGAAATGACACATTTATAAACACAAAACAAACCAACATACATAATATGTTTCAATAAACCAAAGATATGAACTTCACTGGGTTCACAGTGCTTGTGCTGATCTCTGGCCTGCCTCACCTGGATGATGGCTGCATCGATCATAGACTGGAGACGGATGAAGCCGGAGTACCAGTAATTAGCTGCTCTGCAGTTCACCGAGCTGGTAAAACAGTTGGCTAGAAAAGGATAAGCACAACACTTTATATTAGGTGATAATCTTGTTTGCATCTCTGTGCATTTCCAATCCTTTCAGTTTGAATGGAAGAGTGGCCAGACGCATGTGCAAGAATGAAGACTTTACCAAAAGATTCTGTGTAATCGCTGGGTAGTGGCAGCTGGTTGTATGGGAAGCGTAGTCTGTAAGACGTGGCAGAGCTGTCCAAGAACACAACACCGACATAGCTGGAGGGCTCATACAGGCTTGCGTTCTCCAGGTCTTCCTCACTAGCAAACATCTCCAGACGATCCTGTAGGTCTGTAAACACAAGAATAAAAGGGTTATAAACCAAGCATATTGGTTCCCCTTCATCTTTCACTTTCCAATTTGATACAGGAGTGATACAGTAGAATTGAATCTAACGGATTAAATGGTTCTCAAGCACTTACGCATCTCCTGGGCCACCTCTTCCATGATGTGATTAGTGATGTTGGTGATTGGCGTGTATCCCAGACCCTTGAGGAAGTGGTCGTCACGCTCCAGCTCGGCAGTGCTGATGCCTCCATAATAAACATGAGGATTGAGGGTGCTGATGAGTATCAGGAGACCCAACAGTAGCAGAGGTAGGATCAATTCCTGCAAAGACAGGCACAAAGGAACAGCTGATGAGAAAACCACACGGTTTGCCACAATTGATCCGTGGAGAAAAATTCTACTATAGATTAGTCCGACCACACACATGACTTCAAACTACAGCTCCTCCATTTATCTTCTACTACTTATCCTGGTAAGCACAACAGTCTGGAGCCCTGACACAGGACAAGGGTCCTGAAGCATTTCCAGACAGGATGGAACATGTAATGCCTTCAACATATTCTGTGTCTGTCTCGACATCTCCTCCCAGTTGGATCTGGTCACTACCCAAAGCTTATGACCATAGGGTGAAAACATGGATTGACAAGTAAATAGAGCACTTTGTCTTTAGGCTGTACACATACTTATTTCCTTTAAACAAGTATTTGTGTTCAGGGGTTTTAACAGCTAGATCAAACCTTATGACAAACGACCTCCTCAACTCATAAACAACACGCAACAGCCTGACCTTGACCACCAACACAGTGAATTGAAACAATAAATTGTGAGCCACTGGCACGTCACAAGCTAATTTAGGAGCTTTTCTGGCTTTAAAACTGCTTTACCAAGACATATTTTAGGGCTTGTGGTTGCAAACTCGATCAGGAGATTTGGTTCACCTGGGATCGGTTTCCACAACACAACTAAAATCTCATTTAGCAAACATTTAGCAAACACACCCAAACATCATAGATTTTCCTTACAAACCAACAAAGCTGGGTTCAGTTATCTAGTTTCCACAGAACACTGCATAAAAGGATTAATCGGAATCCTAGTAACTCAGGATAAATTGTTCTCTCGAGCTTAAGCAGCCAGTAACAAACAGTTGGCATCTCTGGTATGAAGTAAACAAGCAGGATTGTTCACACTGCAGCTTTACAAAAGGACTTTACTAACTGCTGTTAAGGAAGCTGCAGGAAGTCCCTCCTGTGCTAAAAAGTTGATACAGAGAGACATTAAAAATGCATCGGTGCAACTTAAAGCCAAATGAAAAATGCATGACCGAACAATGAAGAAACTAAAAGCGGAAAGAGGCACGAGGCATCTTGTTTATTTAATTCCAAAATCAAAACGTATATTGTGTATAGATTGACAAAAAGACCACCTTATAAAAGGCGTATTAACTGCAGCTGATGTTACCTTGAAATAAACCCAGAGCTCTCTCAGAGATCCAGACAGAATATGGACCCTGACAGCGTGCTAGCCTTGAGAAAGGGTATGTGGAAAGCAAGGACTCTCACTGGCAAACAACGAACTCTTCAACAAACACACTTATTCAGTTGTCAGAGGTAAAATACTTTAACTGTCAGGCGTAAAACAGACACAGCAGATTTTAAATAAATTCTTATATAAATTGTATGTTATTGTCTCTATGTATGTAACGTAAGTTATCAACTTGGCTTCATGAGAAGTTGCAGCAACTGTCAAACACAGACTACACTAGAGGAAATAACCATTAAAACCAGGCTCAACCCTGAACACATTCGTATCAGTCCTGTGAAAACTAAGCACCTGAAGACTCTGTTGCTTGGTCCTCCATTTGATGAGCAGATTCTTGTAGAGTAGACTTCTTGTTTGGTGCCAGACTCCAGCATCTCTTCTATACGTGGGCTGCATACTTCCAGCATGCCTCATCTGGATGACGTATGGACGAGAAGTCGTCTCCCTAATGCTGGCCTCAGCTGCAAGTTCAAAATAACAAACAAACAAGCCAGAGGAAATAAATACTTCTATCCTGGACATTGATTATCATGCATCTCCTTTTTTCAGTACAGAAGTATCAACATATCCCGATGCCTTACTCCAACAGCAATAACTAATGTGACGCCCCAAAACAGACCTCTTTATGTCCCACTTAATATAACATAAATAAGGGACGTTCTTGTCAATCTGCCTCAGTATTTAAAAACAGAACTGCAGACTCTGTTTAAAAGTGGTCCGTTTTTATGATGCAAGCTTTACTGGAAAAAAACAACAACGATGAAACCAGGAACCATTTTAATTAATCAAGAAAATAATCAGCAGGTTAATCGATGATAAAAATCATCAGTTGCAGGCCTATATGACGCTGTAGAAGTGTAAGTTCATGGAATAAGCTACACACTCAAATGCTTTCACCATTTTCCTGCAGCACTGTAGTCATGGATCACAGATGGGAGAGTCAGTGATCTTTGTACTGTACACACCAAAATAAACAGACATCCAGCACATTTTCTTAAAGCACTGATCTACTGTGTGTATATTTTCTGTGCAATACATTTACCTCATTTCTTTGCAAGACACAGCTTTGAATCAGGGCTGCACAATGTGGTAAAAAGACAGACAGATATATTTTTACATCACAAAAACAAAGAAAAACCATTAAAATCATGATGCGAACATTTTGGGTGTCTGCACCAAACAAACCAGGGTATCTCTGCAGCTGCACAGTACTTCACTATAAAGCTGCTGGTTACATTTAACCTTCATCCAAACATCACAGCTCTTGTGACTTCGATTACATTTGGATTAAGTGTGCAGCCCTACTTTAAAAACTACTTCAACTCCTCTTATCGAGGGAGCTGCAGCTTTCCTCCCGTCTCTCCAGTGACTCGACCACTGTTTCAGTCACAGCAGCTCAGGCTGGTGTGCCCTCACTGACCGCAGTTAATAACTAACATTACCACCACGTCCATTAAATGGCTTTTAACCAGCCTACCGCAAATGAAACCTAACGCACCTCTCCAATCAGCCTCCAGCGAGGTACCACCGACAGCTAGCGGACGTTAGCCGATCCACTAACCCGCCCTGTGCTGGATTGTTGACACTTCAGCAACGTTAAGCCATGAAATTGCTCCTTTTAACCGGAGGACGCAGTGCCTTCGCCTCTCTGCTCAGGATATCTGAAGAAGAGGAGCTAATAGAGGAAGGTGAGTCTCTCCGGAGCTAACGCGTTGTGTGGAAACAAGCTAGCGAGCTAACAGCAACACACCGACAGTCCTTCGGGGAAACAAACATTCAACATACTCACGTATAAAATACATTAAGACATTTCTTTTCTTTTCTCCCCCAACGTGTGATTTTTAAACAGCCTTACGTTACAGATGTTGGTTCATGTCAAGTAAAAGACGAGCGCCTTGTTTCTGACGTCGCTGCTTCCTCCTGTCAGAGCGCCACCAACCAATCAGATCGGATCAATGTTAATGACGACGAGCCGCACCAATAACAGCTGATTCTTTTATTTACAGCACAAACACAATATCGATTCTTTTATTTACAGCACAAACACAATATCGATTCTTTTATTTACAGCACAAACACAATATCGATTCTTTTATTTACAGCACAAACACAATATCGATGTGTAAACTCAACCAAAAATATTACTTGTTTTGGGGATTTATTGATATTTGACTCATTTAATTTAATCAAAGAATCTACTGGCACAGAGAAACATGAATACAAACAGTATATAAATATATATATATATATATATATATATATATATACACACACACACATACAATATGCAAATGTAGGAAATATTTATTTAAAAGTAACATATGGAAGTATCATCTTCCTGACCCACATGTGTAGTCAGACCCACAGACTCAATGTCTCCAAATACATCAAATATGTTGGTTTTTTTTCCATTTGATGGAAATAGTGCAGCCATAAACACGTGTAGTTGAATTTTACACTCATGTAGCATCATATAGCTTCCACAAGGAGCTGTAACAAGCTGAACACATATATGAAATAAGATGATTTCAACAACCTCACAGCAGCATGAAGGGGACAACTGCATGGGGTTACAGAACATGTCTGTGTTGGTGTGTACTGCTGTGTTCCTGTATTCGATCTGAAAGTGCTGATGGCGGTGAGTGTTTGTAGGAAGCTTCCGGGATGTTTCTGAACTGGAGGAAGCCATGAAGTGGGGAGGGCACAGGGAGCTGCTGGATCACGTTGGTCCTCATCAGTACATCTGGTCCCAACACTGACCTAACCCGCAGCCGACAGATGTGGGAAAGACAGGTAATGGATTCTAGAGGGAAATAAAGAAAGAATTAAAACTACCCTCATTCAAAGTTTACTACAGATTCTAAGAGAAATTCTGCAGTGCACATTTTGTTACTGTACCAAAATATGGACATGGTTCCCACGTCTTCTCTGCTCGTCTTCGATCCAGGATATGTTTCAAAGGGAGCGACAGAGTCGACCAGTTTACAAACTCTAGCAGGTAATTCAACACCTCGCTGTCTGCCTGTTCAAACCTAGAAAGCATTGAGGACAGACAGAAATTGATCAAGTTTTCGCCATCCGATACCTGACCAAAGACCAAAGACTGAGAAAGAGTGAAATGACAGACTTACATATGAGGCTGAAGCAGCAGAGAAGGTTCCAGTCCTGCTTTCAGAAGCAGAGGAAGCCAGCACGCAGCAAAATGTACTTGGTTTAGTGCCACACAGAGCAGCCCCCTCATTTCCTGCAGCTTTAACACAGTTTTCCCATGATGATGTGGTACAGAACAGTTCCTGGTCAAAGTCTCCGGTCGAGGGATCCATCTGTGCTCCAGTATTAGTTGCAGCAGGTCAGTTTTGTCGGTGGCCAAGGCATAAATCCAGTCCTCCTCGTTCAAACTAGCTCCTGCAGCTATCAGCAACCTCACTGATTCACTGAAAGAGATTTTAATCAAAATCAGGGACAAATCCACCTGTTTTATCATCTGTCTGAGGAGGTCAAATCTGCTTTCTCACACACCTGTATGGTTTGTTGGATGTGCTACACAAGGCGAAGGAGAGTGGTGAACAGAGGCCCAGGATGTGCGTGCAATCCTGGGCGTCTGGGCTGTAACCTTCCCTCAAGAGCACCTCCACGCTCTTGCTCTGATGCCTGTGGACGGCCACGTACAATGGACTCACCATGCCATCACCACGGTCACACACACGATCTGTGACAGCTATCAGCCTCCTGAGGACACTGGATGGACAAAATCACAGAGGTAAATAATAATTATATCAATTATCTTTTATCAGGCAAAAATGCTAAATATTCCATATTTGCTGATCTTCCCTGTTTATCATTGTTAATGGAATCATCCTTGGGTTTTCACTATTTTTTGGCATTTAATCAACTAAATGATTAATAAAAAAAAATAAAAATAATCTCTTATCTTTCCTGAGTAGTTGCACCTCTTCAAGCCTCTTTTTGAATCACTCTTTAGTTCAACAGTTCACAACACATGTACAAATGAAACATGTGATGAGAGATCACAACTAAAAACTGCCTCTTTATAAGAAGTCACACTCTAAAAAAGGTGAAGGAATCACTGCCCAACAATATGTCATTGAAAGCCGAGTCAGTACCCGATGTGGCCAAACTCAGCAGCAGCATGAATGGGAAGCTGGGGCCAGTCGTGACTGCAGGCTATGTTGGGATCTGCCCCGTGGTCCAACAGGAAATCCACACATGCCTGGTGGCCCTCCTGAGAGGCAATCAGCAGCGGCGTGGCCAGATCAGCTGCTTGGGTGCTCACATTGGCACCTAAAGTGAAAACCAAATCAAACACACTTCATTATGTATCTTATTTTACTCAATTACTGGTTTAAGAAGAGGTAGAGAGAGTAGCTGGTACACAGGACAATAATTCTCTCTGACCAACATTAACGCTATAAACACATGCACACACAAAAATATAAATAACATAGAAAAATAAGCCATTTACCAGCATTGACAAGGATTTCCAGGCATTCCTGCTGTCCATACTGTGCAGCCACAAAGAGAGGGGAGATCTTATGGTCATCTAGTGCTTCCAAGTTGCACACATTGACCAGTATGCGCACAATTTCACTGTGACCCTGAGGGAATAAAAAAATATGTACGTTAGGTGACGTTAGGATACATCTCAGGATCAGGAGTTGTGTTTGTGGGCTCTGTTATCACCTTATAAACAGCTTGATGTAGGCAGGTCCAGCAGGACGCGGTGTGTGTCCTGTTGACCTCTGCACCTTTACTGACCAACAGTTCTACAACCTCCTTGTATCCACCGTCCACAGCTGTTGGAAAGCAGTTAGCAGCTGATAAATACTGCAGACACAATTAATACAAGTCTACAATCCAAAAGAGGGAAAACAGTACACTCATTAACACCAGTTTGATCATGTGCATGTGTTATACCTGCATACAGAGGACAGGATAAGTCGTTTGTCAGCTGGTTGATGTTGGCGTGTGCTTTCAGGAGGAGTCGGACCACTGCCAGGTGTCCGTGCCTGGCTGCCAGGTAACATGCAGATTCCCCCTCGTGTGTCAAAGAGTTCACATAGGCACGGCAGCCACTGGAGGAGCCTGCTGCTTGCAGTCAGAAAGGGAAACATTAAGATTTCCTCCTGAAATGCATATTAGACTTTGAAGAAAGATTGATTCATAAACTAGTCTGATAAGTGTTAAAGTAACCCATTAAGCAAAACTGCTAACATCACCTGGTTGTGCTGCTTTCCTGTTTCATACCAGTGTTTATATTTAAACTATCAAATGAAGTGAAACGATTAGTCCATTCCTAGATTAAATCATGTATCCAGGAAATACTCTCTGCTCCCAGCTTCTAAAATGTGAGCCCTACAACCCTGAGCGGTTCCTATAATAAGTCTTACCGCCGGCAGCAGACAGTATTTCCCGCACACAGTCCTCACTGCCGGCGGCTGCAGCCTCATGCAGGGCCCTCCAGCCTCGGTTGTCCCGACAGTCCACACTGAAGCCCCTCTTTATCAGCCTCCTCACCCGCTGCCTGCAGCCGCAGCGAGCTGCAGCAGCCACACTGGAGACCGAGTCTCCGTAGCACTCTGTGAAGTCCATGTCCTGCTTTAAAAAAGGAGTGAGAGCCATTGTGTGTCTGCCACTGAGCACCAGAGGACAGGAGGACATCGAAACATCAACATCCGGCTACCTGTCTGCTCCTACCTGCTGACGTCACCACCGTCAAATAATAAAAGGTGTAACCTGCCAATATACTGAGTGTCACACACACACTATGCAACATGTACAAAATGTTTGTTGTGCTTTTTAAAATAAGAAAATAAGGTCTTATTTATTCACCAGGTTGTGTCCCGACGTCTCACGAGTCGCTGTTTGATGCCGTCACACCACAACATCCTGTCGCGTGCCGCTACACGGTGACGGCGGCTGTGGTGCGACGCGTTGGATGTTAGCTTCAAGCTACAAAGAGTCAGACATTCAACGTTTTATTATCAGTTATATCCGCGAATAAAAGTTCACCCGTAGTTTGTTTGAAAAAAATACAATGAAATAAAATCCGTTTGAAGAAATGCGAAGACGAAGATTGAGCAGTTACCTGAAGAGAAGGAGGTAATCAGCGGGTTGTGGAGCAGATTGAAGGAAGGTACTGTTAATCTTCATTTATAATAAAACTATTACACACAATACACCACCTTCTAGCTGTCAGCTGCTTGATCCTGCACACAGATATAATATATATATAATAATATATAATAATATATAATGTTACTGTTGTTTAACGTCCTCACCGCTCTGCTGTCCTGGCTTCATCCAGGACTTATACTCCTGTCTCCTGACCTGTCTCCTGTCTCCTGACCTGTCTCCTGTCTCCTGACCTGTCTCCTGTCTCCTGACCTGTCTCCTGTCTCCTGTCTCCTGACCCTGTCTCCTGGCCTGTCTCCTGACCTGTCTCCTGTCTCCTGGCCTGTCTCCTGACCTGTCTCCTGGCCTGTCTCCTGTCTCCTGACCTGTCTCCTGTCTCCTGGCCTGTCTCCTGTCTCCTGGCCTGTCTCCTGACCTGTCTCCTGTCTCCTGGCCTGTCTCCTGTCTCCTGTCTCCTGACCTGTCTCCTGTCTCCTGCCTGTCTCCTGTCTCCTGTCTCCTGGCCTGTCTCCTGACCTGTCTCCTGTCTCCTGGCCTGTCTCCTGTCTCCTGTCTCCTGACCTGTCTCCTGTCTCCTGACCTGTCGCCTGTCTCCTGTCTCCTGACCTGTCTCCTGACCTGTCTCCTGGCCTGTCTCCTGTCTCCTGTCTCCACCTGTCTCCTGTCTCCTGACCTGCCCTGTCTCCTGTCTCCTGACCTGTCTCCTGACCTGTCTCCTGTCTCCTACCTGTCTCCTGTCTCCTGGCCTGTCTCCTGACCGTCGCCTGTCTCCTGTCTCCTGACCTGTCTCCTGTCTCCTGGCCTGTCTCCTGTCTCCTGACCTGTCTCCTGGCCTGTCTCCTGACCTGTCTCCTGTCTCCCGTCTCCTGACCTGTCTCCTGTCTCCTGGCCTGTCTCCTGTCTCCTGTCTCCTGACCTGTCTCCTGGCCTGTCTCCTGTCTCTTGTCTCCTAGCCTGTCTCCTGACCTGTCTCCTAGCCTGTCTCCTGACCTGTCTCCTAGCCTGTCTCCTGTCTCCTGGCCTGTCTCCTAGCCTGTCTCCTAGCCTGTCTCCTGGCCTGTCTCCTGGCCTGTCTCCTGTCTCCTGGCCTGTCTCCTGTCTCCTGGCCTGTCTCCTGGCCTGTCTCCTGTCTCCTGGCCTGTCTCCTGGCCTGTCTCCAGCAGCATCATGGTGGACATTGCTGTGAAGAGTGGAGCTGCTTGGGTCTGCAGCGCTCAGGGACGACACCTGGCTGACGTCCTGCTGTCTGTTGACGTCAGTAACGAAGAGGACCGAGAAGAGGAGCTCAGTCAGTCGGAGGGACTCGAAACAAACTGGTCAGAAGCTGCTAATTAATGTTAATTCCTGATTGTGAACACTTATACTGTAAAAAAGTAGGCCTGTAGTGTTTGGATTCATTCACACACGATCCCTGTTTATGTCAATAGTTGTATATTTTCAACTGTGTGTGGGCAAACAAACCTCATCACTGTTGTACTACAAGAAGAGACGTAGATGAGTGATAAGCAAATGTTACATTCATGGGTGAACGGCGCCTTGATCCATTAATCTTTCCTTGGCAGCGGTGGCCCAGTGCTGTTGGAGCAGACAGAGGAAGGCTCTCCCTGTGTCCTGACGCTCCACTGCAGCCCCTGCTCCCCTACTGCCATCAGCCGCCTGCTGCTCATCAGCGAGGCTCGAACCATGGAGCTGTACAACCAGATGGGAGAATACAGCGGGACAGTACGCGGGGAGAGAGACAGCCGCGTCCAGACAGACAGGTATACAGTACACAACACAGAGGTATCGCCACTTGCATGTTTTACATGTTATTTGAATTTACAGGAAATAAGGTTGTGCCAGTTATCACCGTTGCACAGTTAGTTCAGACTGATTTGAGTATTTCTAACACAAAGTTGAGGCCTCTGGTAGGTGTAGGGTCTGTGGTTTTTCATCACAAAATAACAGAGCGGCAGTTACTAAACTGGTTTCACATCTGATTCTCATTTCATGTGGGAGGCAATAAAAATAATCAGTGACGGTCTCATTTTGTGAGGTATGGTGCTGTAGTTAAAGCTGGATTGGTTTCATTGACGTGCCATGTTGAAGAATTCTAATAATTCACGGCAGGAAACAGGACAGGACCTGATGATGCAGCTTTTAGAGAACTTCAGGTGTATATTGAAGAAAAGTGTTGATGAAGCTAAAACACAGCAGTGTTAGTTTCATCATTGAGTTCAAGGATTCAGTCTGACAACATCCTGAGTTTGAATTTCGTCAGTGTCATCCCCACTGTCTCCTTGTCCTGTCTTACATGTCCCATCACTCTTAGTTTGTCCAGTGTTAAACATAGGCTATTTGTAATGAAGATTATTTTTAATGGAGTTCACATTGATGCATTTATTTTTCATTTCTGATGGATTAATCAGAGTTAAGTCAATGTTTGACTGGATGTTGAAGCAGTGTTTCCTTTCTCCCTCACAGTTCAGACAGAGGGCCTTTCTACAAGAAACAGCTGATCCTTGAGCATCCATCCTCAGCCTGTGAAGTGAAGGTGAGTTGGTTTTAAAGAGAAGTCAGTCCAAACACAAAGAGGACTAGCTGTGATATCAGTGTGATGAGCTCAGACTCTTGATATGACTGTCTCCTCTGTCTCTCGTCGCTCTCCCAGCTGCTCTCCCTGGCCGGTAGAAGCAGCGTTTTGGTGTGTCGAGTCATCGTGGGCCTTCAGCAGATACAGCCCTGCATGGCCCGCGGCCCCGGCATCGACATGCAGCAAGTGCAGTGTCTGGTTGAGGAGATGGGAACGAGCCTCTCGCCAGGAGCCCAGAACCTCATGGACATGGTTCACTTCCAGCAGAAGGTGGGAGAAAAGGAGCAGCAACTTACTTGTTACCTTAAACGACGAACATTTTAAGGATCTTAAAATGTTGTTTGAATGTCTTTAGCAGAGAAATTATAGCTGCACAAAATAATCATCATCCCTCGGTATGTGTTTCTCTCCAGAACCAGACCGGCTCCCTGGGCGGCTTCCTGCCTCTGCTGATGGGCGGTGGGGTTTTCTCTGCCATGACTCAAGGAGCCAACATCTCCCCAGCAGCCGTCAGCAACCAGCCCCCATCTGCAGACTCCAGGGTATCAACCTTAATCTCTCACCCCACAGAATGATGATGCCTTAGTTACTGCTCAAACATCAGAGCTGCAGTGATTAGTCAAATAATGAATAGGAATACTTTCTGGTTTCTTTAATCCTCTATGATGGTAAACTGAATATCTTTGGTTTGTGAAGAAGGCAAGGCCTTTGAAGCAACACTTGATGTTGATTAGAGTATAGAACTGAGCAGCTTATCACAGAGAAACTATTCAAACAACCAATAAAGAAGTTAACCAGCACAGGACAAGAAGCTAAAAGTACATTACAGTACAGCTGCAAAAGTTCAGCATCTAGTGCTCTGCTTGTTGCTCCATATAGGGCAGTATGATTCATTATAGCACAACAACAACAGATTACTCCATAATTGAGCTTTACCTCACTGACAGCAACCTCCTTTTTTTTAGCATGTCCACTGTGGGGGTTCAGAAAATGTTTACACATACTGTAGAGATGTCAGATAGTTTCAGAGAGTCTTGTTTGTGTGTCACCAGCCTCCAGTCAGCTCCATCAGACCTGCAGATGAAGTTCCACCGGCTCAGAACGGAGCCACATCCGACGGCTCAAACTCCTCCTCCCCAGACCCGCCGGTTTCTGGTGTCACTACTAGAAATATAAGTAAGGACAATGTCTTAATTTTAACAGTTAGGTTTTCAATGTTAGGAATGTTCTTTAATTTGATTATAGGTTGAAATTTTTTTTTTAGGTACCAGGAGAGTGCTTAAATTTTACTCTTAAATCACTGCTTATAGACTTGGACTGAAAGATGCAGCAAAGGCCTGAAAAAGAGTTGTAAGAGAGCATACAAATGTCTCTGTCCCCAGCAGACTGTCCAACCGCCGTCATTATCTATCGTCTGCCTAACGAAGGCTGTTTGACCACAATGTATTTAATAACAGACCCAACCATTTGTTTTTAGTTTTGAAATTCACGAATCTTAGCAGTTTGCGATGTGGTCTGTCTCTAGTGAGCAGTGAGAGCAGAGGCCCAGTGAGCCACGCCCAGCTGGCAGAGATGATGTCACACTTCCTGAAAGGGCAGGGACATGAGCGGGCGCTAAGCTCTTCCGGACCTGAGTTTCTGCCCATGCTCCAGAGCGTCTGCGGTCAGGTGACGAAGCTGAGACTGGATGATGCTGCAGCGGTGGCAGAGGAGGAGGAGAAGATGAGAAATGGCACATGGTGAGTGGAGTTCAGTGAGTCCATCCTGTTAGACTGTGTCTCCACAATATTCTTCTTTTTAGAGGAAGTGTTTGTGGTGTTTATGGAACGTTTGCATGTGTCAGTATAATTCAGTGCAACGTGCTGCTTCTCCTCAGAGAAATTACACAATATAATTACAATTTTGAGGATTCTTCTGTTATAATTAGTCAATGAAGTCAGCGGGACTGCTTTTATATCTGTGTCTCGAATAAACCCATCACTCCATGTTGTTGATCTGTGATCAGATAAAGTAGCTCCACCTTGTGTCAGAAAACATTACTGCAACAGCTGACTAAGTCTACGAAACATGAAAGATAACATTATTTTAAATGATAAATATTTATTCTTTGCTATTGGCATTATTACTACTATACTATACTAGCACTACTATTTGATAGTAATAGTAGTGCTACAACTAGAGACAGTATTATCCTTTAATAATCATTTGTTTAGGGAAAGGGTGCCCAAAGTTTTTCCCTTGAATGGCCGAAACTAGAACTTAATGGTGGACCACAGGCCAAAAGCAAACACCTATTGTATACAAAGGATCCTAAGTTCCTGTAAATGATTTAATCGGACATCACAGCCATTCCACGTACAGCGAGTAAGCCTGATATGTTGAGTGCATGCAAACTGCACTGCACTGCAGAAACAGTAAGCATTTTAGATCACTGTGGTTGAATTTTTGCTGCCCCAGCATTATCGCACAGACACATTGTTAAGGAGCTGAGCATGTGGGTGAAACAGAGACTTGTTTATTTAATGGGCCAGTTCTTTTGGTTGTCTAAAGTCACGTTGTTGCTGCCAAAAGTCAGTTCACGCCCAAACATTTCCCATTGTTTCTTGGGAGAATATTCACTGATCTCCAAGCAGCCTGGCAACACATATAATGACGTGTGTCGGGGTGAATTTCCATGTTGTTCGTCACACTGCATGGTAATAAAGTTATTTTTTTCAAAAAGCGGTCTGGTAACAATTCTGGTTAGTGAACAGCTGTCTGGGCAGTGGCTGCTAACAGTGCCGGGAGGAGGCTGATACGGACACAATAGTGTTTATTTATCGGCATCGCTGTATGTGTGAATCATTAAAATGTCGGCAAACAGCACCAGACCTCATTAAAAAATGTTATTGTTCAGCTAACACTGATGCAAAGGCTGAGTATCAGTTAACTTAATTCACAGCTGACATTAATTTCACTCTACAGTTGAAGAATGTCTTTAGAGCTGGTGCTACAAACCGCAGCTTGATAAATGAGGTTCTTTGTCAGAGCAGAGCAGCTCATGTGGGTTCAGAGAGAATGTCAGCTGAGTCTGACCCCACATCGAGGAGAGGACGGCAGCTCATTGGTACGTCTTTACCACAACATATCAGTCTAGTTATCACAGTGTAAAATATTATATTACTTTATTACATTATTTTAAATTAAATTTTGGTCATATCTACTCTTAGAAATGAATTGATGACCAATTACGTAATTGTAGTTTAAAGAAAAGTATGTAACGTTCTGTCTGTCTGTCCTTGAACCTGACTATTTGATCTTCTTGCGAAGCTTGTTACTTCCTATATTTCTCAGACTGCTTTTCAACAAAAGCTGGAAGTTGACTTGTAGGTGGAGGGAGCGATAATGACGGTGAAAGAAACAGGGTTAATTTGCCGTCTGTTTGCTTAAAACTCTGTCTCGTCTTGCAGTTGCATTGCATTGTGGGAAATTGAGACTGCTGCATTCTGGTCTACTTCCTGCTACTGCAGGTGCAGAAATTGGCCTCTGTGATAACTTCTACAATTGATTTCTCACCAGATTCTGACATTTACCAAATCCTGAAGGTTGACTGCATCAGCAGTTTTGTTTTATAACAGAAATGATTTCCACTTTAATAAAAGGAACATTGTTGAGCAGACAGGCAACAAAGATCAGAGGTGAACGTACAATGTGACAGACTGAGTAGCAGCAGTCCAGATTTCCACAATTACTGGAGCTGGAGTGTCAGGATTGGCTCAAGAAAAGACCTAAAAAGTAAAAAGTAATGCAGAGAAAATGCAAAGACATGCAGAAAGATTTGAAATGTTTGTAAAGGTGGAAAAAATTGAGAAAGAGGAGGTGTTTTGTAAAGCGTCTTGGTTCTGAACAGGTGGTTAGGATGAAACAAACTCAAAGTCAGCTGTCTGAGAGTTGCATACAGAAGGAAATGTGCTTGAGTAAGAGGGATGCAGCAGGATCTTGAGGTTAACGGAAGATGATGGTCAGCATTGACTGTGTGGGTGGTTCAGTTAGTGTCTGTGTTTATATTTGAGGTTTTGTCTCTGATGTGGCTTCATGTTTGTTCATGAATCAGTCACAACTCTCTCTGTCTACCCTGCTCTTTTCATTCCTCCACACTCAATACTCCTCTCTTTCCTCATTTTAGTGCATAATACAATATATCATATAATATGTACAGTACATTATTACAGTGCATTTAACATGAGTCACAACCAGTGTTAACAAGTCACAGTCTTGAAATGTCTCCCAACTGTGTTAACTACCTAATACACACTTTAATGCAGTTTTCATGCATTTCTCATTTTGGAATTAAACTTTTACTCTGCAGGCACTTTGCTTTAACCAAATGTTGCCACATTGTCCTTCTACTCTGCAGGGAATTGGACTCAGCCATGGAGCGTCGTCTGGAAGAGATGGAGAGGAGGCTGAAGGAGCACGTGGACCGTCGCCTCGACGCTCTGGAGCAGAAGCTGGAGAGGGCCCTGCTGAGCGCCCTGCCGCAGCTCACCCTCAACCAGGGAGCCGTGAGCAGTTCAGAGGGAGAAACAGCATCCACCGGACCATTGGAGCAGACTGCTCTGACACCAGCTATCCACTGAGTTCAGAACCACTAAAAGACTAACATGTAACCTGGAAGCCTTTCTGCCCTTGGTCCTCCTAAAACTGACCTTAGTGTCGGTGGAGGGGGGCGCAGACAACAACAGAGACAACAGCAGAAAAAAAGGCTGAAATATATATGATTGCAACAATCTTATAAAAAATATAAGATATAAGTTGTCCATATAAAGTATAAAGTCCAGCTGTCAAAGATGCAGCCTCTGTAACGGTTCGTTTATCTTTTATCTTTTGGAAAATAGCAAACGAATGCAACTCTTTTTATCAGCTAAAGTAGGATTGTGACATCAGGTTGTGAACACGATGCAAGTTTGGCCTAAAAAACCAAAAATGTCTAACTGCAGAAATCATATATCCCCAAAAATTATGTCCTGTGGCTGCAGTGCATTCTGGGCTATAAAAAAAGTGTTTTGGAAACCAAAATGAAGTAAAATTGAGCATAGACTCCAGGGAGCCCTCAGTCACAGCCCTGACGTAGAAAAAACAAAGAACAAGCTTTAAATTACTGCAGTGATCTTATTATTGGCAAATTTTAACATGATAATAATTTACATGCAACACCAGCAGAACACTCATATATTCACATTAAAATGTGCATTTAAACACTCCAAGGTCCTCCCAGGTTTCATGATCCACATGATCCTCCAGTCATCCTGACCAACAGTTATTCTTGTGCACACTTTGTACTGTAACTTCACTCATCTGCTATTAAGTGTTTTCAGTCAGTCAGGCATTAACTGTTTGATGTGTGGAAAATCTGATAATGAATACATATACTCGTGTTACAGGAGTATATATAGAAGGTGTAACTGATTAAAAAGTGTTTTAATATGGCACTGTTATGTTTTAAATAATGTACATGTCTGTAACATAAATCCGCCAGTGTAAACTATTAAAAGGACTGTGATGTTGATGGTTTTAATAACTACTGAAATACATAGCAATAAAAATATATTTATACAGATGAATGTCCTTTTTGTTATTTCACAAAACATGCTTCTAGTGTCAAACTTAGCAAATACATCACTCTGCACAGTGAAGCTCAAACATCCAACTATAGGAACAAGCACATACAATTTGAGTGGATGGGAACCTCAATAACTAAAACAGAGAAGTGCATGTGCAACAGGATACAAGAAATCCTGAATAGAGAGAGAAAACGAGTGAGATGATTGTTGAGCAAGGCACTAACTTTACAAGAGCTCAGTGCCTTGCTTTACTAAATTAGAAAGCTGTAGATCACCAAGACCGTAAGAGGACTATGGCAACCGTAACGAGCAGAACATTTGGGCGTTCAGTTTGGTATCTTTGGGCTCCAGCGCTGCATTTTCTGACCAGAGTCATAACATATGAGTCAGAAATACTTTTAAGAGTTGATAATGCTGATTTATGGATATTTCGTGTGGACCACAATGGCAGTTTGAGGAAAATATTGTCCAAGAGTTTCACGGAAGGTAAAATCAACTTAGCCTATTTTCCCTGCCAGGCCTTCCAGTAATGCTGACTCATAAATTGGTCACAAATGAACCATCAAGGTCACTGAAAGTCTTCTTTTGTGGAGAACCACTGCAGTGAGTTGTGTGTGGAAGACAACTGAAGTGAATCCTGCAGTGTGAAAAGCCCAGTTCCCCAAATACAAAAAGAAACAGGAGATGGTCAACACCAAGGTACTATGCAGCAAACCGACTGACAGCTGTGAGTCATCAGAAATGAAATGGGTCACATGTTACATAAGAAGGACACCAAATTATAAAATGATGTGCGGATGTTTTGTTAGGCATGTGGGGAACAGACACTGAGTCAGCAGAGAGGAGTTCTGGGAGAAAATCTCCTCTGTCAATCAGCACAAACTAGGTCACTGCTTCCATTCACTCGAAATGAAAGAAAAAGTCCTGCTCATCTTCTGCTGGTAGATGTCAGCTATCTGCAGTCCAGGAGGGTTTTTAGTGATGGGAGGATGTCATGCATGCTTTAATGGTGAATCCACTTCACCTGTCAGTCCACCTCTTCTGTGTGAAAGCTGTTCTACACATTACTGTTGGATAAAGACCGGATCACACTCCAAAATCTCCGTATTATAAAAGATGAACATTTGCATGGACAATTTGTGTTTACCCGCTAAAGTAAGCCTGAAAGCTTTTGATCACATGATCTTCCTCTGCAGATGGAGTTGCTAAAAAGGAAAAAATTAAAGCTGCAAGCAGCGACGATCAGGCCCTCGTACTCTGCGCGTGTTGGGGTGTGCTGCGGCCGCGTCATGCCTCAGCGTATCGTGTGTGGATCATGACCATAATCACCACACAAGGCTAATGTCCTATTGCCAGTGGGTGGCAAGATCACTATGACTGAGTATTAGCATGTAGATGTGTTCAGACTCTTATCAAATGTGTGAAGTTTGGTGGAGATTGAACCATGTACGTTGAAGTTATGACAGCTTCCTGTTTCATGGCGAATTGTCAAAATCCGACGCCACACACTATTTGTGACGTTCAGCATACACGTCCCAAATAGCACAACTTTTAATTTTTAATGTCTTTAGATTTCACTGACCAAATTTGAAGTCGATCCAAATTCCCTCAGAGAGGTTCGTTCAAGCAAAAAATCGCAGAACATTCAAAATGGCCGACATCCTGTTGGGTTTGGGGTATGGGTCCAAGAGGCTTTTAGAATATGTATATAAGGAAATTCCTACCGTAGAATTTTGTGCCATGTTTCATGAGTTTTCATGCTTTTTTCATACACATATAAATAACATCTTTACTGAAGACGTGTTTGTTTGCATGTTAGCTGTTGAAATATTAACTTTGGAGAAGAAAGTGTAGAAAACCAAATATGTGATGATGTACAAGCAGAAGAGAACACTCCACAAAGAGGAAGAGGGTTTAGAAACCTCAATGTGTCTTCAGAAGCTCAGGGGATCCTAGAAGGCTCCATGTGGAACCCCTACAGGCGAACTATGAACCTCATTAAGGGACGTTTGTCATTCACAAATAATTGTTATGAAAATAGAAACGTACGGTCATACAGGATATTCAAAACTAGTAAAAAAAACTCTACTACACTTATTGTTATTACTAATGATGATTTATGATCAAATATATAATAATGAATTATAATATTAATATAATGAATCAAACATCGACTGGCAGTTCTTTCAACAACATGGTCAAGAAGACAACACTTTTGAAAATAATTTTATTCCCCTTTTTTGAAAAACTGTCAAACACATACAGACAAAAATACTATTAAAAAAATATTCCATCAAGAACATACACAATAAAACAGAACTACGGTAACCTGCAGTAACCGCTTTGTAGCGACAGATGATGTTAGTAGAATATAAAAAGTCTGTGATGATGGAAAGTTAATTGGGATTAGAAGAAAAATTCAAACTAATATGAGAAGTATGACAACAGGGTCGAAGCTTCAGTTCCCAGGGTTACGAAGGTGGACCTTTGAAGGTGTGTGTGTAGTAGTAGTACTAATAATTACAAGTTCTTAAACACAGTAGGTGTGGCCCCAGACACACACACACCCCTGTTGGTTGGTTGGTTTTTCAAAGTGTTCATGATTGGTTGAAAAACACTGAGAGCCAGCTCGGGATTGGTTGACTGGTTGGGTCGTTGCGTTGTTGTTCATTCAGCTGAGAGGTCAAGGGTCGATCTCCTCGGGGACGATGGTGAGGATGACGTCCTCGTTGCCTCGCCTCACCACTGTTCGCAGCCTCTCCTCCCGCTTTATGGCGGCACTGACATCAGTGGCCGAGGTGATTCGCTCGCCATTGATACTGATGATGACGTCACTCTCCTGCAGTCCAGCTCTGTCGCCAAGAAAGAAGAGGGAAGGTTGACACATGTTACAAACGAAATTAGGCATTTGGGGCGTATAGTTGGTTTCCACAACATTACATTAAATATTCATTACGTATCATTTTTACGAAGTGACCACAATATATGTGCAGGGTTGCTGCGATTCCTACCGGCTACCACTAGATGGAGATAATAGTTACAGATTCATTCACAAGCTTGTCATTTAAAGGTACATTTCCTAATTCTGCAGCAGTAGCTAGTGGCAACCCCAAACCTGCTAAATAAATGATTATATTTCAGCTCATTTGAGCCCAGGTTTGTGTTTGTCTTCAGCAGAATATCTCAGGTTATATCTCTTTTAAAACTTTCTTTATGTGTCTGAGAATATAATATTGTACTTTGTGCCACTTGGCCCTTGTTTGTTGCTTATGTAGTCATTTATAACAATACATAATAATGTTATAGAGAAATACTTGACGTGAAGATGTGAAGTTTCCTTTAATTTGCTTTATAAATAAAGCAGCAAGTCACAAATGTGTTGAATATGGTTAGGCCATGGTCTCCTGAACCCTACTTCAATTATTTGAATAAATACAACCTGCCACATGTAGACCACAAAAGACATGGTAACGCAATTAGAAATTGTGTATTCGATGTAGATCTGGATCTAGACACAATTTCTCAACATTTTCCTTTATTAAAATCACACATTTAGAGGCCAGTGTAGCCTTGATTTCCCATGTGCATGTGCTCTCTGAGTGATTCCTAGCTGTTCAATGTCTCACAGTATTCAGTTAGCTCCTGAGGTGAACCCAAAGCAGTCTCTTCTTGTTCCTTAAATGACTGAATGCAGTTTGTCCTCCTTGCCAGAGTGAGTTGGACAGTCTAGGTGGGAAACATTCATAATTCTGCCCTCACTGCCAAATTTCAGCCCAGCTTTAAAACCAGAAGTGAACTTTCCACATCCTGCACTCTTCACACACAGTAAGTTCAAATCTAATAAAAGTCCTTTCAGCAAGATCAGGTCCTCATCCTGACTCCTGCCTGTGTTCCACATTAACCCTCCAGACAACAAGAAAACAAACTCGACCTGCTATGTTTCAGGTGGAAAGCTACGGTTTCAACTTCAACTTCAACAAGCTTTTCATGTGGATACCAACAATCTTTCCAGGGACAAAATATATTCTACAGCAGTGAGTCTGGAAACAACCGGCATCCACCCTTCTATCTATTTTCCCATGTGACAAACTCCATTACTGAATGTGCAGATGATGAATGCATTACATATCGTAAGATCCTTTAACTTGGCTGTGAAAATATAGCTTGTTGATTTGACATATTGGGCCTTACACCAGATAATGTGGAAATAAGAGAGAAACTCACGCCTCAGCTGGAGTCCGGCTGATGACCTCAATGACATACGCCCCGGAGGTGACATCTGGGAAGTCTGACTGCCTCTCCTTCAGCTCTTTAGCCAGCCTGAAGGGAGAAAAAGAGGAGAAAAACAGCCAAAATATGAGGTTTTGTACTTACTGTCTGGAACACGCCAGTCTGATTTTAATTCAGCTTGAAGTGATGCTTTGTGACTCATTTTAAATCACAACATGCAAAGCGCTGCTCTGATTAATCGTGACACTCAACCTTCAGGCTTTGCAAAGCTGCAACTTCAACAATACAGATCTGATTTTAATGAAGCGTCTTGTTGCTGATTGGTCCACAGGGCACCTGTATCATTCAGCTACAATGTTTATTCAAACTGTAGGCCTAACAGATCTTCCCAATACTAGCTAACAAGATCCAGGTGCACACAGGGGTTTCTGTTTATTTCTGTTTACAATGAAAATCAACTTCCAGAGACTTGAAAACATTAGATAGTTCATACATAGGTCATTTGTCATGAACATTTAGTCAGTAAACTACAACATGTTCTATAGGCTATAGGCAGGACTAAACCTAAATTAAATGTTCAATATTATTAATGCAGTCCAAAACTTATTCCTTATTTTAAAAAACGGTGTCATGTGTAAGAATTGATATTCACTCGACAGAAACCACGGCATTCATGAGCTGAGGTTTCAGCAAACAGAAATCAAGAAGACAGCAATGTAGAATTGGGGCATGTTTTACATTAAAAGGGTTGCTATTCTCATGTGTC